AGAAGAACAATATTGTTTTTAGCTTCGTCTTTTTCCCATAGAGGTACAAATGTATTTACATTACAGCATGTCAAACCAAATCACTGGCCTTCTGACTACACTAGTGAACCTACTGTCTTACTAGCTAAAGTCAAAGATGCAATTAAATCGCTAAAGAGAAATAATTGATTCAATATCAGGTTAAATATAACAGTTACTGGGTAATAAAGGATTACATATCATCCATTCTATCTGTGTCGCTGTTTGGAATTCAGGAAAATGACCATCTGACTGGTATACCTCAATTTATATCCCGCTACATAAAAAAGGAATTACTAGCAGATGTGAAAACTACTGCACACTGTCACTAATAACACATGCTAGTAAAATCTAGAAAAGAATGCAAATCAGCATCCTCGGAATAAGTGAAATGCGATGGCCGGGATCAGGAGTATGTGACGTAGATGGATATCAAGTGTACCATGCCGGAAATACCGATGTTAATCACTATAATGGAGTTGCAATCGTAGTAGCAAAACACTTAATCAGTATTAACTTATATCCCCATATCTGATAGAGTAATGCTAGTAAAATTTAGTTCAAAGCCGTTCATTACCAACGTAATTTAGGTCTATGCTTCCACATCATCCAGTGATTAAAATAAATTAGAAGCATTCTACAAAGATCTTACTGATGCTTTAGATCTTGTCAAAGCAGCAGAAAATACCATAGTCCTCGGAGATTTTAACGCTAAAGTCTGCAAAGGACGCTGTTTGAACATTGTGGGGGATTATGGCCTGGGAAACAGAAACGAACGTGGAGATCGAATTGTCCAGTTTTGTCAAGAACACGATTTCATTATATCAAATACCCACTTTAAACTACTATCGAAAAGACTCTACACCTGGAAGTCAAATGCAGAATCAGAGGACAAAATTATTAGGAACCAAATCGACTTCAATCTAATAAAAAATCGATTTAGAAACTGCATCAAATCAGTTAAAACTTATCCAGGTGCTGACATTGGATCCGATCACAATCCCATAGTAGCTGTAACCCAATTAAAATTAAACAAGGTGATCAAAAAGAAGTCTCGCAAAATATTGATACAGTACAATTACAAGACGAGAAAGTTAAGGAATCACTTCAAAGACAACTGAACGAAAATTTAATTTGGGAAAATATTGGTGAAAACGTCGATGAGGGCTTAAATAAAATCGTAACAACAGAAAAATAAATCTGTGTGAGAAATTTACAAGGCAGGTCAAAGCTAAAAAAGCAGGCTTGGATGACAGATGACATATTGGATTTGATGGAACAACGGCGACTAGCGAAAAACAACGAAACACTTTACAACAGCATACAAAAAGAAATTCGTAATCATTTCTATTATTATCGTCTAAACTTTATTCGTCTTTTGGTAGTCACTTATTAATTATTTCGGCATTTTACTTTCTATTATGAAATACTTCTAAATATGCATTTTCCACATGTTTGTGTTTTTGCGCTTTTTCACAGAGTGTCTAAGACTCTGATTCATAAAAAAAGGGTAAAAAAATTATGGCATCTCAGCATTCTTATTCAGAGCCTTAGGTTAAGGCTGCTTAACAACAAAGAAATTGTTTGATCTTTATAAACGCTGGTCTTGCTATGTCTATTTGGACTTTTATTTCATGTAAAGGATCTAGAAGCAAACCGTGTCGTATTCTAGTTACCAGCTATTTCTGTGCCACTGATCTTCTTCTTCTTTGGGTGCCGTCTTCAATGAAGGTTGGCGATAACCTCAGCAAAATCATTTCTGTCCCTGGCTTTTCTTATTAAAGATTGAGAATCCAAACCAGTCCACTCACGAATGTTCTTCAACCAGGACGCCTGCCGTCTACCAGGACCACGTTTTCCTTCTACCTTCCCCTCTATAAGAAGCTGCAGTAGCTGGTATTTCTCATTTCTGTATATGTGTCCCAAATATGAGGTTTTCCGTGTTTTCATTATTTTTAAGAGTTCTCTGTCGGTACCCATCTTGTGTAGGACCTGCTCGTTGCTCATATGCGCTGTCCAGGGGACTTTCAGCATCCTTCGAAATAACCACATTTCAAAACTTTCCAAACGCCTGAGTGAGTTGATTTTGAAGGTCCAGGCCTCCATTCCATATAGTAAGGTGCTGTAAACGTAACATTTCAGCATTCGGTATCGGATTTTGAGATTGAGTGTTTGGGACGTAAACATTTGTTTCATTTTTAAAAAGACATTTCTTGCTTGTTCAATTCGCGATTTTATTTCTATGTCTGGATCTATATCTTTCGTTATCCAGCACCCTAGATATCGAAATTTCTCGACATTTTCGATAATGTTACCATTCACGTTTAAAGCCATGGGTGGATGGATGGATGTTTTGGAGACAATCATTGTTTTTGTTTTCTTGACGTTAATGCTGAGGCCGTATTGTTCTCCGATCGATCTGACGCGATCTAAGAGTGTCTGGAGATCCTGTGCGCTCTCTGCAATTAGGACCGTGTCGTCGGCGTATCGTACATTATTTAGAACTCTGCCGTTAATTTTAACACCTTCTCTTGATTGCTCTAGTGCTCGTGCAAAGATTTCTTCCGAATATATATTGAAAAGTAGTGGTGACAATACACACCCCTGTCGTACACCTCGCTTGATATTGAATATTTCTGTGTCACCGGCTTCTGTTCTAACTGCTGCAGTTTGGTTAAAATACAGCGTTTGGATAATTTTAAAATCGTTCTCGTCTAGTCCCTTTTTGTGAAGGCAATCCATCAGCTTATCATGTTTTACTTTGTCGAAGGCCTTTTGATAGTCAATAAAACATAAAAAGAGATCCTTTTTTTGGTCTCGACATTTTTGCAGCAGTATAATAAAACTGGTTAATGCTTCCCGTGTCCCAAATCCATTTCGGAAGCCAAATTGTTCATCACTGATATCCTGTTCACATTTCTTATAAATGCGTTGGTGAATAACTTTCAAGAATAACTTTAACATATGCGACATTAAACTAATAAGTCTGAAATCACCACACTTCTTTGCTCCCTTAGTTTTTGGAAGGGAATAAAGACTGATTTTAACCAGTCTTGTGGAATTTCACCGCTTGTATATATTTGATTAAATAATTTGACGATTATATTTAAATGTTTCTCTTCCAGTAGCTTTATGACTTCCGTATGTATGTCATCGGGGCCAGGGGCTTTCCCATTTTTTGCGTTTTTGATTGCTCTCTCTACTTCTTGTTTTAATATAGGAGGACTGGTTTCATGGTTTTTATATATTATGTTGTTTAGTGGTGTGTCCGAGAATAGTTCTTCTATGTAATGTCCCCATACGTTGTTTAGATCGCTTAATTTCCATATCGTTTCATTCTCGTCGTTTGTTAATCTACAAGGGAGTCTTTGTTTTGTCATTCCAGCTAGATCTTTTATTTTTTTGTGAAGCGTTTGACTGTCGTGTTTTTTATTAATTCTTCGATCTCTTGGCAGTTTTCTATCATCCAATTTTCTTTTGCGGTAGCTATTTCTTTCTTGATTTGACGATGTATCTCCCTATATTTTTCATTATTTTTATTTTTGTAGGCTCTTCGAGTATCCATCATTCCAGAATTTTTTGTGTCATCCAGGGTTTAGATTTTCTTTTGTTATTAGTGTCTTTTATATATTTCTCGGCGCTAGTAAAAGCATTCTTGACTTCAGTCCATAAGCCTTCTGTAGTTGGTGATAACTCTCTTTGGAGTCTTTCACATTCCTCGTTGAGTTTAGTCTTTACCATACTTTGTATATTTTCTTGTTTAAGTAAATTGATGTCGGTTTTTCTTTTGACAGTCTTTTTTAGCATTTTGAACTTTATTTTTAATTTAGCCACTAGTAGGTTGTGATCCGATGGAACATCTGCGCCTGGGTATGTTCTTGTATCCGTTACTGCATTTTTATATCGCTGGTTTATAATAATGTAATCGATTTGATTTCGGACACAATTGTTTTTATTATCTGCGGGTGATTTTCACGTATATAGCCTCCGTAGTGGTAGCTTGAACCAGGTGTTTCATGATAGTTAGTTGTTTCTCCTGGCAAAATTGTAGTAGTCTGTCACCTCTATCATTGCGATTGCCCAGTCCGTAATTTCCACAAATATGTTCCACTTTTCAACAACCCACTTTGGCATTAAAATCTCCTACGATTAATGTTGTTTCATAACTCTTTGTCATTTTAAGTAATTCTTGGAGATTCTCATAGAACTGCTCTATTTCATCATCCGACTTGTCAGCAGTTGGTGCATAAACTTGGAGTATGTTTATGTTTACGGGCTTACTCTGTAATATCAAAAGAAGCATTCGATCAGAATAGGGTATGAAATCAATTACTGCTTTTTTTATCTGCTCTGTTACTATAAGGCCTACACCATTCCAGTGTCTCTGCTGTTCGTTCCCCGAGTGTATATTGTGTAGTCATCGATGGGTACATTTCCAGAACCAAACCATCTCATCTCACTTATACCTAGTATGTCCACTCCAAGTCTTTTCAGTTCACGAATGGTATTTTGAACTTTACCGTTCCTTTACCGTACCTTTGTACGTTCCAAGTACCTATTCGTACCAAGGATTGGTTAATAATGTATTCCACTTTCGGGTGGTTCCTCCCGCTACTGATCTAGTAACCTAGAAGTATACGTATAATGGGTCAGTAAGAACATCGTACTGATAATTTTTCTTTAAAATCACCTAATTAACTAAATTAGAGCGCCTTCTTGACATTTAGACCAGATTTTACACTAACAGTGCTGGTTTTTGTTAGGTACTGTATTGGAAATTATAATTATTAGCATGATTTATCAATTTATCTTTATATAAACCTTACAATAATAGTTACTGATTTAACCAGAAATATATACAAGTGGTTTTCACGTACCAAGATTTTCCATGCTTTGAGTTAATAAAGCTTCAAAGGTGTGCAAGCTGTAACTTTCCGCATCCATTCCTTTAGCTAACGTGTTTCTAAGATGCATCTCATACTCTAGGAGAAGTCTGCTGGTTGGAGATCCGGGGTTGGGGTTGTATTAGCATTCTGAAATATACACAAAAAGTTAGGAAACATATGTTTACAAAATTAATAATAACTGAAAAAAATTATGTGAAAAACGATATAAGTAAGTGCGAATATATTTGGTATTTAGTATTATTTTTTTTTCATGAATGACGTTCAACATAAATTTACTTCAAGAAAATCCATAAGGGACCTATACCAGAGAAGACTGGATCAGACGTTACAGAATTTCGGTTTCAGAAACGTCAAAGAAACGTACGAGCACGTCAAACACAGCATAAAAAAGGCGGCATTAGAAGCTTTGGGTAAACTTGAGAAAAGAGATACCAACACAAAGTAGAAATAAACAAAGAAACCAAAAAATGTATTAAGGAACAGAAAATTCTATATATGAAAATTATGAGCACCCAATCCCCAGAAGACATACAGAAGTACAGAAAGAAAAACAGAGAAGTAAAATGAAGAAGGGCAAAAGAAAAGAATGAAGAATTGGAAGAAACATGTGCACAAATTGAACAATGCATAGGAGGAAGAAGTAATTCGAAATCCTGGAAAATACTCAAAATCTTCAAGGAAAAATAACAACGAAAAGGTCTAAATACAATACATATTAGAAAAAGAGTGGAAAGACTACTATAAAGAACTATATATATATATATATATATATATATATATATATATATATATATATATATATAATATATATATATATCCGGTTTTTTAGGCGTTACGCCCGTCCGGGTAGGGATCTATGGAGGAGTATCACCGAGCCGCAAGCCCTTATCTCTTGCCGTACTGCTCACCACAGGCCGATCAGAACCCAGCATATCCTATCTAAGCCGCAGATTCATCTAGAATTTTAAACTGCTGCGTTAGACTATTTTGTTTTCTAAACACCGAGCTTGGGCTCGACCCACATCACTAAACCATTCGACAGTGAAGCGAATGAGAGGCAGCCGCACAGTCCGCTGAGCTATCTGACCGCCCTATAAAGACACACAGTCTATATAAAGAACTACACACAGAAAACCGCCCAGATTTCATAGAGACAGACACAGAACATGAACAACAACAAAGTCAGAATGAAAAACGATTAAGATAATTAATCGAAGAAAAGAATGCCATAAAGACTTTAAAGATTAAAAAATCAGGGGTGCCAGGAGGAATCATTAATGAACTAATTAAATACGGAACGGACAAACTACACAGAAATATACACGAAATGTTCAGTAACGATATAAACCTGAACGAAATACCAGATGAATGGTCCAAAGCATATTATAACCTCAATACATAAAAAGGGAGATAAAAAGAAATGCGAAAACTTCACAGGCATCAGTGTAATAGCATGTATGGGCAGGTTATATGGAAAAATACTGAAAGAAAAACTGGAAAAATCTATCTCAAATAAAATGGGAGAAGATCAGGCGGGGTTCACGACAGGAAGATCTTGCATATACCACATATATACACTCCAACAATTAATTAAAAAAAAAATGGCAAAAAATAGACCAGTACACATGGCATTCATAGATTTAAAAAAGGTATATGACACGGTTCCCAGAAAACAACTATGGAACACGATGAAGAAATCGGAATAACTCAGAGGTTAATAGAAGCCGTAAAAAACCTGTACAATAACAAGGTAAGAGTTAAAACCGGCAATAAATACTCCAACGAATTTAAGACCACAAAAGGCTTATTGCATGTATACTCTTCATCTCCGACACAGTTCAAGATATTCCTCGAACAAATATTAAAACCATGGAAAAGGAAATGTGAACGGATGGGAATACCAATCCGGGACAACTTCTTGTACACATTAAGCTTTGCAGATGACCAAGTGGTAACGGCTCAAGATGAAGAAGATCTGTGCTATATGCTCCGAAAATTAGAAAAGAAATACACAAAAAATGGACTGGAAATAAACCTAGAAAAAACCGAATATTTAACAACAGAGCAAGAACCAGTGAGAAACTTGGAAATGGACGATGATAGGGAAATTAACGGCACTGAAAAATTCAAATATTTAGGATTCATACTCTCAAAAAATGGAACCACCGAGCAAGAGATAACCAGCAGATTAGCACAGACAAGAACATGTATTAAACAGATGAACGGGGTACTGTGGGATAGAGAGATTACCAGAAATACAAAGAAGAGAATTTATAACACCTTGGTACGCAGTATAGTGACCTATGGAGCAGAGAATTAGGTAATAAATAAACGAAACAGGTCCAAAATCACAGCAACTGAAATGGAGTTCATGAGAAGAAGCTGCAGAGTGACAAAAATAGATCGCATCAGAAATGAAGAGATAAAACGAAGAATGGCAGTAGAATAAGACATACTCAGCTTCATCGAAGAAAAACGTTTAATTTGGTATGGTTATGTGAGAAGAACAGATCATACAAGGTGGATAGCAAAGATTTCGGATTGAGAAAAGAAGGAAAAGAGGTAGACCCCGAAGATCATGGATGATGAAGTAAACGAGCATGGAAAGACGAGACCTTAGAGATGGAGAATGGCAGAACAGAAAAGGACTGGAGACGATGGTTGAAAGAAGGAAAGCGGCGACAGCTGTGAAGATCCTTATATAGATAGATAGATTTTTCTTTCATATGGAAGCCATAACTTAGTGACTAGGTGCTAGCTTACGGAGCGGGATGGCCTGGATTTGATCCCGGTAGGCACCAGTCATTTTTTTAAGTTTTAATTTAAGTAATCCACCACCGTGCTTCGGAGAGTACGCAAAGTGATCGGAAGTAGTTGTTAACACTAAAGGCTGAGCCAGAAGATTACACGAATAGAAGATATACCATAAGTCAATTGACTGCAGTACTGCAGAAAGGCTGCACTTGTTTTCCTAAAAAAAAAACAAGATTTTAAAACAAGTATTTATAAGATTAAAATTATTATACTTTCAGTTAAAAAACACATTGAAATATTTGTTTTATTTCCTAATGTATATTATTTACATTTGATTGTCATATCATGGTCCTTGTAACAGTTTTTCAGATTTTTGGTTTGTTACGTCCTGTAAGACGTATGCTTGCTAATAACGACTATATTATGCAACTGTAAAATTGGAAAAATAGCATGGTATAATAACACAAGGTATGATATTGTGCATGACAACTGACAGCTAAGCCAGTCGTGTAGCGTAATCAAGAACCTTCGTCCTCGAACCCATTATTTGTAATAATAGTTAACGAGTTTGTTTTACATTGTAGCAACTTATCGCGTTTTTTCTTTAGTAAAAGAATATAACGAATACATAACAGCCGAATTGACCACAGATATACGGAACTAATAACCAATATACATAAGGAAGCCAAAACAACAATTAAAGTAATATGAAGGAACAAAATCATTACAAATAAGTAGAGTGCGTGAGACAGGGTGATACGATATCTCCGAAACTTTTCATCAGCCCTAAAAGATAATTTTACAAGATTAGAATGGGAAAAAAAGGTATAAAAATTTTTGGACAACGCCAGAACCATCTAAGGTACGCTGATGACATCGTATAGGCAGTCGAAAAGTGTATTGTGTTTGGACTCTGTCGAACGCCTTCTCGAAGTCGATGAAACAAACATAAACATTTTTTTCGGAATTCACAACTTTTTGTAATAGAACGCGCATACAGAATAGTGGCTCTCAAGTTCCTAGACCGTTTTTAAATCCAAATTGCTTATCACCCATCTTACTTTCGCATAGAAGGAATACTCGGTTTTGTATAATTCGTAAGAGTATCTTCAGTGTGTGACTCATCAAACTGATTAGTCTAAAATCGCTGGCATTTGGTGGGCCGCTTTTCTTTGGATAATTTTATAAACAAACTAAGCTACATTTCTTAAAAAAAAAGATATCCACAGCATCTTAAGACCAAAGTATATAAATCAATGCGTACTCCCTGTTCTTACTTATGGTTCCCAAACGTGGACATCTACAAAAGCAAACATGGACAAAATCATAAAAACCCAAAGAGCAATGGAAAGACAAATGTTGCACATAAGACTAATAGATAAGAAGAGAAACGAGTGGATAAGAGAGAAAACAAAAGTGAGGGATGTTAGACAAGAAGTTGCAAAATTGAGATGGAGATTTGCCGGACACAATATAAGACAAAAAGAAGACCGATGGAACAAAATTCTTATAAGTTGGAGACCGTGGGAATATAAACAAAGCAAAAGAAGGCCCCAAATGAGATGGGCAAATGATATCAAGAAGCACGTGGGCTCTAGATGGATGACTGTAGCGACAGACAGAGAAGAATGGAAAAGGATTGGGAAGTCCTATGTCCAAAAATGGACCGAAGAAGGCTAATTAGATAGATAGATAGAAAAGAATTATAGTTACATAAAAAATACCTGTATGTTGAGCTGATGTCTGGTTTATTATATTGTTAGTAGTTTTTTTTTTTGTAAAACTTGCAGTTCACTTGTTTTTAGTGCTTTGATGTACGGCATCAAATCATACAGATTTTTTCCATTTTTTCGTTGGCGTTTCCTGTACATTTTTTTTTGTAATGATTTATTTACGAACATTTATTCTTTATATTGATGTAAGGTTGAATGCTCGAATAAATGAACTTTGATCAAGTAAAAGGGCATGTAAGAGAATGTTAAACATTACTATTTTATTCTTCAATAATTTATAAAACTAGCTTGCTCGGGTTCAATTGATCTATAGTTGGCGATATTTACACTCTCCACACCTCTATGTAATTTAGATATATCATCTCCTCAGCTATACAGTTCAACTTCTCCCACTGTTGGTCAGTTGGTCTTGAGTAACGCTTGACATAATAAATTTTATAGTTCTTTCATTGACCGTGGGTTCAACTGAACTACTTGATTTATGATGACTGATTATACCTCATTTATATACTTTGCTTTCAATTGGGTTTTTAATTGCTATGCTAAGTATTTTAATTACAAAGTCAGATTTCTTCGTTTCTACAGTACTAATAGTGCTTAGTAGACCATTTTATTGTAGTCAACTACCCACTGTCGAATATATTGTTTAGTCTATTTCTTGCGTTCGTACTTTACGTCGACTTCAGCTGCTCTCAAACTAATACCCTAATTATTAAAGACAGGTTTGAGTGTGAGATTTAGATCACGCAATCTACTTACAAATATGCTATAATATTCTATAATAATGTTATATTTTATCATTTGATTCCCAATAGTAGTGTCAGTTGGACCTTTGGTCATTGCTCAGTTTCATAGAATTTTGAAATGTGCAGATCACATATCTATGATTGTGATTGCCCATCCAAGCTGTCATAATGTCACATGTCTCCCTCAACATTTCTGTTAGACCGGGAGCCATTCTGTCTTCGGCTTCCGTACACAATGTAGCTTCGCCTATTTTTTAATAATTTTAAATGCGTTTGTCCTTGTGTAGTGTAATATGATTACCATTTTATGTTTATAACATTTTTTTCTTGTCGGATAGGCCACAATTGACGAAGTAAGTCCAAAACGTTAATCACATAAAAAACTTTTATTAACCATCAACTTCGACTTTTTATTGAAGTTAATTAATTTCTTCTTTAAAAAAAAATAAACGTTTCTTGGCTTATTTCAGATGCCCCTGAAGATGTTCTAGGGAGCGAAAGTACTTGGGCAAGATTAAATTAATTAAACTGTGCTCGATATTTGCCTTTTACTTGATGAAAGTTCATTTATTCTTTGGTATCTAGTTTTTATTTGTCATTGTGTATCTAGTTTTGTACTTTTCTTACAATGCGCTGTTCAGTTGCTTGTTATAATAGTGACAATAAAGCTAAAATCTTTAAGTTTCGTACATTTCCTAAAGATAGTGTGACCAGAAAACTGTAGATAAAATCTTGTTGTAGAAAATGATAATTTTTAATTTTTATACTGCAAGAATTTGTTATAAGCATTTTAAAACTGAAGATTATCATAGAAATCTACAACATTTTCTGTGACAATAAAGCATATTTCTATTTTATTCTATTTTATACCCATACGATACAAACAGTTATCTGTCTTTTAAACATATTTTAAATTTAAAAGTCTGTGACACATAATGTTTAAAGAATTCTTGATTTAACACAGTTTCTATTCTATTGATGAGTATCTATCTCATGTAACCACCTGTATATGCGAAGAATTGCGTGTTAAATAATGGATCGCAATTTCACTATGTATTTATTGTATTTACTTTTATGTGATTATATTCCATTTTTTATATCTGACGAATGTAATAATATAGAAATTTACATGAATAAATCAGTCTACTTTTTAAATTTCCCACTTATTCCCCAGTAACAGATTACAGCAACAACATTAACTCTTCAAGGGACACCTGATAAAGTCAAGATAAACAATATTATAACAGAAAACTTAAGGTCTATTATCATCTAAAATGTTTAGCATAATATTAAAAAAGATAATACAGGAAGCAAACAATTATATAAAACAGTCTGATCTACCATAAAAAAACATCACTGCCTTAGTATTTTCGGACGATTGGTAATCTTGGCTAGAAGAAAAATAGAGCTGATAAAAACAGTCATGGAACTGTAAGGGATGGTAGCAACCAAGGAAATGTATATAAATGAAATAAAAGCGAAGAAGTTAAAAGATTTAAGTACTTAGGAAATGTCTTCACAAGAGATTCTAACTGTGAAGAAGAAATACAGCAAAGAATTATGTCTGCCAACCGTACCCTATATAGCTATGAATGAGTTGTTAAGAAGCAAAAATATTTTCCGAAGAGCAAAACTAAGGACATACAAGACTGTAATAAGGCTAATACAGGCTAATGCTTCTGAAAAATTGAGCCATAACAAAAAAACACTAAGACTTTTTTATTAGTTTGTTAGCGCAAAATCTGGTGAGAAGAACTTACATGGACAATGGATAAGAACAAATATCAAGCTAAACGGAGCTCTATCAAGAACCCACTATATTAGCGGCAATCAAGGTTCAAAGATATGAAGCAATAAAGTTAAAGAAGATATGAGGAGACTTAACGTAACCAACTGGGAAAGAAAAGGAAGTGGCAAAGAATAGTACATCAAGCCATGGACCTACTAGGCTCGTAGTGCTATAATATTTTTTATAGTTAAATATTATCATAAAACAATTTTATCATCTCTTTTTTATTACTATAATTAAATTACTCAAATTAATATAAAAAAGAACTTAAAATTAAAAGTCTTTCCTATATAACTACATTCAAATGTTGCGTGAAGTGAACCGATTTTGGAACATTATGTATCATACCTTGTGTTTATTGTACCATGAAAAAATAGTATAAATGACAAAGATTAGAGTGTAACAAGAAAAAAAGACGAAATATCGTACTATAAAAAGAGAACTATTAATCGTTCATCTGGAAAATGGAGATACAAATTTGCGTTGCAGCCACATGAGCATATTATTTGATTTTTCCTCGTTTGGAATAACGAAATAGGGACTTAGCTGGAATACAACATACATGAATCTCTTACGTAATATAAATATATGAAGACCATTATTAAAAATAGATGAAGATCATTATTTTAGGATCTATCTTTAGAGATTTTAAGATTATAAGACCAATTTTAAGTAAACGATCAACCACAAGAAAGATTTTGAATACAAGTAATTGTAAGATGGAGCATTGCAGAAATCATAAAGAAGATTAAAAGAACCAAATAGAGTACAAAATATTCATCAATACATATATATCATTCCTCGTCAATAGAACGGTTCGCATTTTCTATTTAAGGCAGTTTATACTTTAACTTGATAATGATATTTAATTGATCCTAAGTTAATGCTCAGATTATAATCTGCGATATTATCATGAATGAAAATTATAAGGATAGATTCCTATAATCGTGGTGAATTCCCTGTCGACTCGAGCTGTAAAGAATATGAGGATTTTCCTGGAGGTGTTAACGAGCGTGTGTATATTTTTGACTAAGATTTCGAGCCACTCTGAAGGATAAAAAAATTTCTATCCAGTGTAGTGCTATGAGTTTTGTTTTTGAATTATCGAATTTTTTTATAGTGGGGTGTGTATTGAAAATTTTTCGCGCATTATTGGGAGAAGACCTGTAAAATTTCTAGATTGGTTGTAGGAGCTCGTTAGTTTTGATTATTTGGAAAAAATTGTACTAGTGGCAACTATCTGCGGCACTTTAATCGATTAATTTATAGAGTTAATAAAGATAAGCTAGAGAATAAGGCCTGTAAAATATATGGACGTTTCTGTGAGAGTTTAGAGAGGAAGGTTTTACACGGTTGCAGGATGTGATTAAACTAATCATTTTGATTAAAATCTAAAGAATATTTTAGGTGGAGAATCCTTTTTTGGGATATTTTTATTTTGATTCACTAGTAATAAAATCGGCAAGTATGTTATAGTTGGCTGCGGTTCTTGGGTGTTAGACATTATTGATAAATTTTTGCTAAAAAATATAATATTTTTGGGACCTCGGCGAAACTACATTGTGTAAGAACTTGAAGCAATATAATAAATATATATATAAATATATATAAATATATATATATATATATATAATATATATAATATTATATTTATATAATATATATATATATATATATATATATCTATATATATCTATATATAATATATATAATATTATATATATATATATTTTATATATTAATTATATATATATATATATAAATATATAATATTTTAGTGGATTCTCTTGGGCTTAGGTTCATAAAAAAAATTTAGTTTGATACTAAGATATTTTTATATATATTTTTTCCGACGTTTCGGCAGGAAATCCATGCCTTTTTCAAGAATATATATTGACAAGCATGTAAAGATTTGGTGTTAACAATTAGACGTCACAATTAAAATAATTTTAAAAACATAGGACATAACCCACTAATAAGTCACTAAAAGTAAAAAAAAAAAAAAATGATTTAACCTAAGCCCAAGAGAATCCCACTAAAAAATATATATTAAGGTTCAAGAACTAAACCTCAAACTATATAACAAACAAAACTATATATATATATATATATTATATATTATATACTAGATAGATATATAATATATATATATATATATACATATATAGATATATATTTTATATAGTAATAGTATATATATATATATAATATATAAATATATATATATATATAAATATAACAAAGATTTTAATCCTACTTGAACCTTACCTGAGGGTGCATATGTCGATGTCGGCCATAGTGATGTGACGATTGTTCTGGATCAGAATTTCCGTTACTTGAGCTAGGAGTGGTAGCATAGCATTGGTTGTCAAATATTACATTATCAGAAGGTGGTGAAAAGTCTCCACCTGCTCCTCTCTCTAATTCTAAGTAAAGCCCTCGTCCAGGGTATCCTCGGCCTATTTCATGGGATGACCTAAAGGAAGATCTAAAACAGTGAAGAAAAATTTATTGCGTTTAATAAAAACAGAAAACTATATAAAAAAATATACTTGGGAAAGTTAATTTAGTTTATAAATAGCAAGTAATATGAATTCAAAATAAAAAAGTCCTTATATTTTGTATGTAAATAGTTAGTATTATTGGTTTAGCGTGGCTTTTAATTTTATGGGAATTCTTCTTCTTCTGTGAACTCCAATTTGTTACTAAATGTTATCGAAGATCCTGACAATTCCTAGCTTAATTAACAGCAGTGCAGAAAAGCTCTCTATTATTCGTTTTACGCTATACCGTCAGACTCTGTGCTAAGTGCACAGTAAAGGGAGTAGAAAGAGAGAGAACTTTATAAGAATCTGCAGAAAAGCTATAAATTTTCACATTTACATATCTGCAAAGAAACTTCACACCAAAATTGGCTTCTTTCGTGGACGATGTGACTCTTAATCTAAATTATGCTCCTCTGACCATGCCATTGTGCTTTTCTACATTAATCTTTCAGATAGATTTTTTTGAGTAATTTAATTCCTTCATTGTCTAATATTTTATAAGTTAAATTAAGCTGGTTCTTGTGCATTCCCATCTTTAATTACTTAATTAAAAAATAATAAACTAAAAGATTAAGCAAAATAAAAAAACAAATAAATAAAGCTTCTTTAGCTATATCGGAATGACTATAGAAAAATAAGGCAAAATAAGTTAAATATCAAAACCAAAGTCTATAGTAATATATCGAAATGAAAACTAACATCGAAATAAAGACTTTCAGAACGATAACGGGTAAACTATTAAGGTTATAGTAAGAAAAAGAAAAATAAAAAAACGAAATCATAAATAAATTACATGTAGAATGGACATCATATATACCCAGAAAAGAAAACTAAATGGTTTATGGTTTTCGTCCTCATGCACCATGTGCTTGGATGCACTTTGGCAGAATATTGTGCATATGTCTTTTATATTACTCCAGTTCCTGATGTTTCTCAGTCACGAATGTGAAAATTTTCCTGGTCCTCGACCTGCTCTTGTAATGTAATGTGTCAAAATTCCGATACGTGAGATCTTGTCAAAATTTTCGTTACTTTATTCAATTTTATTTTACCCAATTTTACTTAATAATAAATTGCCGTATTGCGCTATTTCAATAAGAGCCTAAGAAAGTATCCATTGAATTCTGACAGACAACGGTGGGGGAAATCATTTTTAAACATCTACATCACGGAACAAGACACCCTGGCATTTTCGGCCAAGTAGGATACTAGGCCAGAAGACCCCAGAGTAGTGCCGGATTAGCCGTGTTCCGGCTAAAACCTTAACCACCGTTCCAAAGAGGTGGTCTTGCCACTCAATAAACAACAAAAATAAAAAACTAAAATGTTATAATAACCATTCCTATTACCGTAAATCAGCAAATGTTTAGACGTTAGGCCATAAACTAATAAATAATATTAACTATAAATTTCAGATCCCTGGCTCAATTTCCTCTTCTGTCCTCTTGCTTTCTTTTCTTCATCACTCCAGAAATTAGACAGTGTGCTTTTCTTCCATTTTTTCTCTCCTCTCAACATTATATTTTCAATGTTTCTTTCATCCATTCCAAAACCCATTCGCCTCTCGAAATCTCCCATGTCATTTGCCCATCTCTCGCAGTTAAAAATGTGAGCGGGAGCGTCCGGTACCGCACAAACAGTACAGTCTGCCGAGGCAGATTTGCCTATTCTATTTGTGAAGGTGCCAAAACTACCATGTCCGGTCAGAAACTGCGTCAGGAAGTTGTCTAGTTTCCCTTACATTCTCACCACGGTATTAGATCGGGAATAAGCTCTCTTTTCCACCTTGCCTTTCCACTATCAATCGTCCATTCTCTCTGCCACTCTACTATCCTTATTTTTCTCTCATTTCATCTATATTTACTTTACATCCATCCTCCTCGAATACATCCTCCTCGTTTTTTTCACAACAAAACGATCGGTATCGCCGCTCCAATGACATCTAGAGCCTCATTAGAAACTGTCCTATATGCGCTAGATACCCTGAGGAGCATTTACCTTGCGAAGACTCCATCAGCTTAGCGTATTTTGCAGTGTTTAGTACACTAAACTACACAGGGGCAGCGTAGGTTACCACCGACTGGAAAACTCCATTTAGCACTTTCTTTTGATGCTTTATGGGCTTCCAATGTTTGGCATCAGCCGTATCAACACCTCTAGATTTTGGTTCACCTTCTCTACTGTCTTGCCTCTCTACTTGTCTCTCTAGCCATGTTCGTCTTTTGGCTCGCCTTTGCTACCAGTGCGAGATCATCGGCATAAGCTACAAGAGTGCATCCCCTTGGCATTTGTAGCCTAAACACTCCGTCGCACAGGACATAACACAGGATTAGACCTAGTACTGAACCCTGTAGAATACCGTGTGACAAACTGATGGTGGTATCTTTTTCTCTTGCGGACCTGTCAGTAAAATATCTGTCAATTACGTTAACCATGTACTCACTAATAGCCCAATTCTCTTAACCTGGACATTAAGTTTACTCATTGTAAGATTTTTTTGCGAAATTATTCTAGGCCTTTAATGCTTCACAGAAGAACAACGCTGAAATATATGAAAAATATTTTGAATCCTCTATATAAAACAACCGTTAGATATGATGAACCTTTTTACAAAAATTACAACTCATCGGGTGATATAATTTGATTCCAACCAGAACTACCACCTCGTTGTTTTGACTAAAGGTGGTGGTGGTTTTTTGTCTGCAAATACAAAATTTAATTGCTCAGATAAAATGCTGAAAGTTATGTCATTAAATGTAGTTTATTCCAGGCTATACACTTAAATAAGAGAATGCCCGTTTTAAATATTTTTTCTACACAAAGAAATAATTTTTCCATCTAAATTAATTTTACGCAGCATGTAGTAAAGTTTGGTATTGTGTATTTTGGAGACCCCTGCCAAAGAGTAGGATATTTTTTATTCCTTTCGTATTTCTTTATATCATTATCTTTTGTTTTCTTCGTCTATTTTATTATATTTTTAGGGTCCAACGTAACTCTAAACAAATCCAATATTGGTCCAAGTGTAAATTCAACGTAATCCTAAATCAGTCCAAGTGTAAAGGTAGTTTTAAGTTAGTTTAAAGTTGATTTCAAAGTAAGGTACCAAGTCTATATCAGGTGATTTTGTTGGGAGTTTCGAGTCCGCCTCAGCTAAGATGGAACCATCATGTGTTTAGGAGTTGACAACACAAGAGGCCAACGTCCACTTAGTCCGCTTTCCAGGTCAAAGATTGTGAGTAATTTTTCTAATATGAACTATCAGCCAATTTAAGTGGTGGCACTTTTAAGTTAAGAAAGTTGATACAAAATTCGAGGGACTAAATATGAATATTATGTTTTTAAATTCAACGTGTCGTTTCCAAACTGTGTCTCTTCGCTATTATTTTATATGTATATACATACATTTATATTTGTGTGAGAAATTTTTGAAGACAGACCCTCTAGCTAGCTACCATTAAGAAGACCTCCAAAAATATGGAGACCTAGTTTTCAATATATAAATAAGAGTGCTTTTATTGTAGTTATGAATGCCAATATTGCAAAAGCAACAATGATTTTTTACTACTTACCTAGAACCAGAAAATCTGGAATTCTGAGCCATAGCAGATCGTGGATGGGGGTGTCCAGATTCGGGTTCTGAATAACGGCCGTTGTTGTTCGGGTACCTTGGATGATGGTGAGTATTGTAATAATTATATCGTTTTCTGCCCATTTCAGGAGACGTTACTGGGCTTTCTGTGCTTGGCATAGGTTTAAGCATTCGTTTTAACGTATTACTATCTAGGCTCATACCTAAAATTATATACATTTTTATCTATTGTAGTATTTTGGTATAGTAAGAAATCTAACCCAAAAATTAATTGGTACCACTGGATGTAAAACCAACATTAACAGAAAAATTCTAGATCTATCCATTGTAATTTAAATAATTTTAAATATACAAGACGTAACATAATTTACATATTCCAATAGTTTCTTAACCACCAGATTAAGGATGAACATGACATGTCGTTAGATTTGATAAAAAGCAAGAAGATGATATTTATTTCCAGTCAATAAAAGCAAAACTAAATACTAGGGCCCTCCAATAAGTACTTAGCCTATAAAAAAAAAACAAAAATTTTGGAAAAGTGCCGATTCATTTCTCAACATAATCTCGTTTTAGCTCGATATACTTGACCCAACCATGATACAAATTTAGAACAAGAACTCTTAACTTGAAGACGAATAAAATACAGAAGACTCCAGTGGGTAAAACACCTCGTATGACATTCTGACAAAAGAATAGCTGGTATCAGAAGAAGCCCCGACTGAAAAGGCCACGTAGACGACCTCGTGATTACTGATTTCGACATTACTGATCATGGTGATCGGATCCCAAGACCCAGCAGAGGAGGATGCACACAAACAAATAGTACGGCCCCCCTAGTCGTCAGCCAGCGAAATCCCTACGGCCTAAAAAGAAAGCAAGTCCTTAACACCTAAGGATTGGAACTTGGAATGTACGAAGTATATACGAGAGCGGCAAAACTCATAACATTGTAAAAGAGATGAAAAGATTAAAAATTGATATATTGGGAATTGGTAAAACACACTGGCAAAACTCTGGACAATGCGATATACTTGGATATAAAGTTTACTATGCCGGAAACAACACAACACATCACAGAAACGGCACCGCAATAATAGTTGCCCCACATATTAATTCGGCACTAAAATCTTTCACTCCCCATTCAGATAGAATAATGCTTTTACAAATTCGAGCAACACAGGTGGATATTAACATATTACATGTATACGCGCCAACGGCAGATAAAGATAAGGCAACCAGAGAAGAATTCTACGAACAACTGGGAAGCCTGATGAAAATGACAAAAAAAACATGAAGTAACAATAGTGATGGGAGATTTCAATGCAAAGTTGGCAGAGGCAAGGTGAATGAGATCGTGGGAAACTTCGGCCTAGGAGAGAGAAACGATAGAGGTGATAGACTTATATGCTTCTGCCAGGAATATAACCTGCTGTTAAGTAATACACTCTTCAAGCTCCCCAAACGTCGACTTTACACATAGAAATCCTCCGCTGACTCACCTGATATCATAAGAAATCCGATAGATTATATAGCAGTACCAACAAGATATAAAAACATGATAAAATCATCAAAAACGTAGCCAGGTGCCGATGTTCCTACGGACCACAATCTGTTGGTATGCAAAATGGTCATGAGAGTAGAACGGCTCGAGAAAAGATCTAATTTAAACACAATTGATATTAAGAGACTCACTAACCCAGAAACCGAAATAAAAGTACGAGAACAGCTAGGAAAGAAAATAAACGACATTAATGAGAACACGTCGGACATAATAGAGAGATGGGATAAATCGAGGGAAGCAATCCAAACAACATGCTCGACACTATTAAAGCGTGACAGACAGAAGAAGTAAAAATGAATGTCTGTTGAGATAATAAATATGGTGGATAAGACGTAAATTCAAGAATAAAAATGCAAAAAAATACCAGCAGATCCACAAAATCATAAGAACGAAAATTCGAGAAGCCAAAGAAAAATGGTTTTCCAACGAAAGCAGGGAAATAGAACAATACGAACGAACATACGACCAGTTACAATATGCACAAAAAAATAAAATCATGGACAAACAAAAGAAAATTCAATAAGTCATCCAACAGCAATAAAGATAGCGATGAAAATGTTATCTCGGAGCCATCAACGATCTTTGAAATATGGAAATCATACATAGAAAAATTATTTGCATCTGACAAGGACTGATGATCACCTATATGGAGAAGGAGAAACAGGACAATCAATCCTTAAATCGGAGATAGAAGATGCCATTGCAGTACTAAAAAACAATAAGTCAGCAGGTCCGGACAATGTACCCTGCGAAATATTAAAGATCCTATGTAAATCAGACAAACAGTTCCTTGATAATCTAGTTGTACTTTTTAACAACATATATAATAGCGGTCAAATCCCGGAAGAACTGGCTGCAGTCAATAGTTATTACAATGCCGAAGAAACCAAATGCCCAGATCTGTGATGACTACCGGCTTATAAGCTTGATAGAAGAAGAAAGCTTGAATATCTAGGCCACATATTGAGACACGATAAGTACCGTCTACTGCAATTGATTGATGAGGAAAACAGACAGTAAGCGAGGGCCAGGCAGGAGAAGACACTCGTGCTCCAAAATCTGCGGAAATGGTTCGGGCTCACATCGGTCGAACTATTCAGAAGCGCCGCAAAGAAGATCAGAATTGCCATATTAGTAGCCAACGTTCACAACAGACAAGGCACTTGAAGACGAAGAAGACGACCTCGACTCCGTTGGAGAGATACTATACCAGGACCCTTAAGTTATGGCATGGAGAATTGGATAAAGATTGCTTAAGATAGGACAAATGAAGACATGTTGGCAAATCGGCTAAAAGTCACGAAGGGTTGTAACGTCACGGAGTAAGTAAGTAAGTGTACAAGTGTTTAAAAAAAACCAAGGTCAAACATAATCCTCTCATAATTAAATTACTTAAAAGAAAAGTTAGACATGAGACACTTCAGAGTCTTTAGTGCTACTATTTAAATCACATACTTAGCTGTGGAAAAGAATAACAACGTTTTTTTAGAAGAAATAAGTATTAAGATGAATGTTGGGCAGAGCTTTATCCTATCTTCTACTTTATACAATGTATACTCAATTATTTCAGGAATAATTCGCTACCCCAGTTCAAAACAGAAACAACTCAAAATTTTGTTGAAATGAGTTATTTCCGTAAAATTTATGCTAGGATGATAATCTACCTATTTCAAAAGAGAAATAAATCATACATTCATATGCATTCCTTAAAAAGTGTCTATTTCCTTTTTGATTTTATAATCTTTTTTAACAATGTCGGTTCAAAACAGAAATAACGTAGTTGTTTCTGTTTTGAACTGAATGTCACGCGCTGTCTGACATCTGTTAGGAAATAAGTTAAATTATTTCAGTTTTGAACCAGCCTGTGTCACGTTTCTTTTAGGTTATGTCAGTTTGAAAGTAATTGTTAACCTTTATGTTTTTAATTATTTAGAACAATATTAGTTCCGTTATTTTGTGTATTTTCGTAAGTTTTATAAGTATTACAATGTTGCCTATAGGTAGAGGTAAAAGAATGGCATTATTGGCAGTTGGCGAACTAAATAGTAGTGATGAAAATGAACCATTAAACCAAATAGTGGATGAAGTAACTTTTCAGAAAGAGGTAAGCCGGTTAGCTGTAGTAAAACTAGTAGCATTCTGTTTTGATAATAGGTACATAAAAAGTTTTTCAAATTGTTTTAGGGTACTACTAAAAACCTTAATACGGATAATATAGTAGTAGAAATTAACGTTGATGGTAATGTTGGATATAATGACCAAAGTAATAATAGCAGTGGCTATCCATCCGTTCTCCTTGCAATACCTGAATTTCCATCGAGAGAAATATTTGTACACGACCAAGTAAGGAATTTGTTCTAAAAAGCGTTAAAAAACATATTCATTATTACATTAACTTTTTTTAGGTACAAAATTGCAATATTATTAAAGAGATAAATGGTAGTGTTACTGTGGAATTAGATAGTAATGAAAATGCGCTTGATTTGTTGATAAACACTCAGGAACCAGCTGCAATTTTTGAAGAAAATATTAATGAAGACTCTGCTGACAAAAGCCAAGAGAAAACCTATTTAAACTTATCAACTTTCTACCCGGTAAGCAAAAAAAAATTAATTGAATATTTTAGTATAATTTAGCTTTTTTATTATTATTTTAGAGAGAAAATGACGATGAGGAAATAAATTCTAGTGTTGGTGATGAAAGCAAAGATAAAGATTATATTGTACCCGACACTTATGGAGCAAATACCAGTTCTAGTGACAATGAAGCTGAGAACTATCACGAAAAAGTTGCTGAAACAGAAGAAATGGTTGAAGAAACTGAACTGAGTGAGAAAATTCTCACAAAAAAAAGATCTAGAAATCCAGACAATTGGGAGAAGAATGTGTTAAAGAAAAAAAGAAATCTAGGAAAAAGTTTCACAACAAAAAAAGGTAAAATAATTGCAGCAAGAAGTGTTCAATCAGCTTGTGGGCCCAAATGCAGATTCAAATGCAGCGAAAAAATTAATAACGAAATACGTCAAGAAATACACAACAGTTTTTGGAAAATGGGCAATATTAATGACCAAAGAGAGTTTATTTTAAGGCACATGTCTGAGTTAAAAACAAAATACCAAAAAAAGCTGCCTGAACGAAAAAGGTCATACAATTTCGTTTATACATTTTCTATCAATGGAAATAAAATCGTAGTTTGTAAGACATTTTTTATGGGTACACTAAACGTTAGTTCAAAAATGATTTTTACCGTTACGAAAAAAAAATCTCAGGATGGATTTCTGGAAAAGGATAAACGTGGCAAACATGGACACATGGGAAGGGCTATTAATCCACAGATAAAAGCCGACATACGTGAACACATAAACTCATTTCCCTTAATAGAATCACATTTCTGTCGTTCAAGAACTGCCAAAAAATATATCGATGGAAGTCTTAACCTGTCCACTATGTACAGATTATATAAAGAACAATGTGAAATACTACAAAAACCTTATGGAAAGTATAACATGTACTCCACAATTTTTTCTACAGAATTCAATATAAGTTTTTTTCAACCAAAAAAGGACCAATGTGCCCTATGTCATAGCTTTAATACCGCTACGGGAGAAGAGAAAGAAAATTTAAAAATGAACTACGAAAATCATCAATTAGAAAAAGAGGCAAGTAGAAAAGAAAAAGCTGAAGATGTGTCAAAAGCTGTTTCCTCGACTGATCAAATAGTTGCGGTTTATGACTTACAGTCTGTATTAAGTGTACCTTGTGGAGAGGTTTCACATTTTTTTTATAAAAGTCGTTTATCTTGTTATAACCTCACCGTGTATGACATTGGACAAAAAAAGGGTTTCTGCTATTTTTGGAACCAGACCATTGCTCAACGAGGTGCAAATGAAATAGGAAGTTGTGTATATTATTTTCTAAAAGAGCAAAATGAGAACCAGGTAAAAGATATTACTTTTTACAGTGATAATTGCAGTGGGCAAAATAAAAATAAATTTATTATTGCAATGTACATGTACTGTGTGCAGTCTATGACAAAAATTGAATCCATTACACACAAATTTTTAATAGCTGGGCATACCCAAAACGAAGGGGACAATATGCATTCCTTAATAGAAAGGGAGAAAAAAAGAAAGCTTAAGGCCAGCCCGATTTATGTGCCTGCTCAATGGAGTACTATAATAGAATTAGCCAAAAAGACCGGCCATCCTTATAAAATTAAAGACATGACGACTGAGGAATTTCTGGACCTAAAAAAACTGACATCCTCTTTGGGAAACAATTATAATATAAACGAACAACTAGAAAAAGTTCTGTGGACTGACATTAAAATTGTTATGGTCAAAAAAAATAACCCTTATATTCTTTTTTACAAGACATCTTATTCTGATGCTGAATACAAATCAATCAATATAAAATTTAAGTCTCCAAGAAATAAATCAGTACCTAGTTTATCTCAACTTTATACCGGACCTATTCTTATTCCATCTAACCTTAAGAAAGGATTACTAGAACTTTGTGAGCTCAAAGCTATTCCTAAGGTACACTGGGATTTCTACAGAAATTTGTTGGAGCAGGAAAATACAAAAAAACACAAAAAAAAATATTCCACCAAATAATGATAGTGATTGTGACGAGTGTGAAAAAGTGAAAGATATCTAGTATTTAATTTTAATTATGTTTAAAATTGGAATAAAATGTTTAAGTTATACTATTTTTTATTTCCTAGTTTAGAAACAACATCAATTTTTTTCCATTTTTTTATTTCAAAACAGAACTAACATGAAATTTAAAAGATTTGTTTTTTTTTCTTTTAATTAGGTAGAAAGGAAATAAAAAACACACTTATGATGTAACCATCTACTAAAACCACATTAGAATTGCAAAAAATACTAGTCTTCAAATAATTGGTTATCTCAATAAAACGTGGTCGTAGCTGAGCGATTTTAGTTATTAGCCATTTTCTCAAAAGTAGTTATTTTAAATTGTTTCCGTTTTGAACTTGGGTAACGAATTAACTACAGCCATAAAAGTAAATGGTCGACCAATCAATAATACACGGTTCGCAGATAATAATGTGCGTTTTCTCTGTGTGTTTTCAAAACTTTCAAAGCTCTCAAAGCAAGGTAGGGTGCCTTTCTCAAGTAACTTATTTTTGGACCTATTTACAGTTTATAGTTATTACGAAATAGATTGAGGAGTAGAGAACTGTTTGTCTCAAGTTGGTCAACACATCCAAAAATAGATCACTTGAGAAAGGCACTCTGCCGAAACAGCTGTAGTGATAAAATGTTATAAAAAATTTTGTGAAAGTTTTGCAAACATAGTTTTCAGTGTTTTATTGTTATATAAAACTCACAAAGTTTAATTTTTTACAAGTCTATAATAAGGTATTAGTGTAAGAGTCAAACTCACCACTTTCCCTATTCATGTCTTCAGTACTCTTCGACTTATTTCGTCTACTAGAAATATTATTATTGACTACATTGTGGTGATGAGCAGCTCTCAGTTCGGCATCTCTGACCATGTCTATTTCGGAATAATCCACCGATTTGGTATTGGTAAGTACGTGATGAAGGTTATCTCTTAGAGGAGGTCGTGTAGATGTAGATGAGGATTTTGTGGTTGGGCCCAAGGAACCACCGGCTTGCGTGCCTTCTGATTTTGAAGATTCCGAGGTTTGAGTTTGAGATGGAGGTTCAGTCTGGCTTATCTGTAAAAGACATCAATATATTTTTGTACATATTTTTGTACAATATATTTTTGTAAATTGTTAATTTAGCGCACAAAAACAATAAAAATTCGTTGGTGTTTCTTTAACACCAAAAGTTAGTTTAATTTTGTTGGTCTATGCAAGCATAACGGCACTTGAATTATGTTTTAACTAAACAAACTCTTAGTTCACAAACATTTATTATATAAACAAAAAACTTACTTGAGATCCAACAGAATTTTCTGTACCCACTGAGGCAGTCACAGTCTTTGGTCCGGTAGCAGTATTACTTGTCGTCATAGTACTGGTATCCAATTGTGGTTGTACTCCTCTATCTCGCATTGGCCTGTTTTGACTACCTTCCCTTTGTGCCCCTTTTGTACCTAAAGATAAATACAACAACCTTAATAAAAGTCAATAATTATTTAAGTCAGTTGACGTTTGTTTTGTTTTTAATTAAACAGCATATTTTACACAAATCTAAGCAGAGAAAAGTCTACTTTTAAGATAATTACTAATTAAAGGTTTAGTCACTGCAGATACAAGCCTCTTCTATTTTTACTTGCCTCTATATCCTGTATTTTCCATATATCTATTGAGGGTTTACTTAGGACATAATGAGAAGGCCAAAAATACGCATTATTACAACTTATTATGCAAGGCAAAATCCGAGGTAAGCGAAATGTGGAAGACGAAGCATATCCTGGCTTAAGAACTTAAGGAATGGTTTGAATGGAGTAGTGCAGAACTTTTTAGAGCGGCAGTCAACAGGATCCGCATAGCCATGATGATTTCCAACCTTTGATAGAAGATGGAACTTAAAGAAGAAGATTGAGGGTTTATAGTATTTTTCAATACTTCACTTTGTTAAATGTAGTGTAGCTTTCTCCTCACTGCTTTTATCATTTCAGCCGATATTTGTGTTATTTTTGGGCTTTTATTGTTTTTAGTTTTTGTTTCATTGTCTATTTCCTCTTTGTGGGTATTTCTATTACTATGTAGTCATTGTCAATTTCATGGATTGATTTCCCTTTCATCATCATCATCATCATCATCATACTTGGCTCAACAATCCTCTGTGCATCGCGGCTACTCTAAGATTAGTCGCCATTCAGTTCGGTTTGTCGCAAAGTGTTGCCATCTTCTGATCTCTAGTATTCCTAAGTCAACTTCATGTAACCACCTAATTCTCAGTCGGCCTCTGCTTCTATTTCCTATAGGTGTTTTCTGTCGTTAGCTTTTTAGCAACCATGTTTTTAGTATACGCCGTACAGCAGCATTAGTGAGAGAGTACCAGAAAATTGTAGCCATCGTACAATTACCAATACATCAAGATATCCTCCAATACGATCTGCCTGAAAAATTGGTAATTCCTATGATATACATAGGCAATGGACAACAAGATGGATGCCAACAGTAGAATCGGACTATATTAAGATATCCACCCCAACTCAGGTTTCATCGGATCAAGTCTGCCCCGGTCCACTTGGGTCGTGCAGAAAGTCCACAGTGCGATTGCAGACAATCTAGACAGACCATAAACCATTGTGTTTCAGACTGCTTGAATCGTGCCTACCGTGGAAACCTCCAGGACTTTGCGGAATATTACTGTGAAAATCCATACGCTAAATAAATAAATAGCAACCATGTAGTCAGGCATTCGTATTATGTGTCCGACGCATCTAACTCACTGTGTTTTAATGAAGGTTATGACATCTGATTCATTAAAGAGTTGGTATAATTCGAAATTATATCTCTTGCGCCACTGCCCTTGATCGTTCATAGCTTCCAAATATTTTTCGGATTATCTTACACTCGAATATTCCCAGAAGTTTTTAATCCTGCATTAGAGTCCATGTTTCCGCTGCGTATGTGAAACCGGCCTCAGCAGTATTTTTTATATAATAATTTTAGTTTTTCTTTGGATATTTCTTAAGAGAAATTGTTTTTGGTGTCCACAGTATGCCCTATTTGTAACGTTTATTCGTCATTTCTCCAGTTCCCGCTTGACTTTTGTACTATAGAGTCCATTACTCCCGTTATCAATAGTCATACGGAAAGTGTAAATCAAAAAACAAAAACAAAACAAATTAGGTTATCAGTGTAATAATAAAAGTGATCAACCAATTGACTAGCAGATAAAAAATGAATACATTGCCTGCTTTTAATGGGCCAGGAATTAATTACAACCAACAAATGTTGTCAACAAATAATGGACTTACTATATAGGATGTCCCACTTGCAATACATACAACCACAAAACCAGAAACCTCAGAGTATTGAAGCTCAACCAATTCCCACACAGTATGCAATAAATAATAGCCAACACCACCATAGAAGATTGTCTACTAGCGATGAAGAATTTTTAGGATTTGATGATAATGCAAAATAAAGAAAATGTTTGGCAAGTAGTCAACAAAACCTTAAAAGGGAGAAAAGTGGATGTTACCAATAGACCATCAGAGCCAGCAACAAATAACAAATACAGTTTTAAGACTCTCAGACCAAGAGGAAGACGAATCCACTAAAATTAACGAAAACGCAAATAAAACATAAAACGAGCTGCAATTTACGACTAATGAGTAATAATTAAATACAATAAAATGATAAAACAAATAGATCTTATAGCAGAAAACACACAATACATCACAAAATCATTAGCAGACAACATGGTAAAAATAAGTTGCAATAAAACCAGACACATATAGGACAATAATAAAATACATAAGGGACAAAAATGTAGTAGGGGAGAGGGGGCAAGTTGTTACATAATTGATTCTATTATTTATTTGGGCAATAGTAGATATTTTATATGAAAACTAAAAATCGGATTAAGGTAGTTGATACATTTACACAAATAATGTTAATTTTAATTTATTTAAAAAATCATATTTAACATTTTGTTATTATCAATTTAACTCAACCTGTAAATTGTAACAACATACCCCACTATGAGGCAAATTGTTACAGTCCATGGGGTAAGATGTTACAATAGAAAAAAAAATTCTAAAAACTATCCCACAACATTATTTAGTGGTCACAGAAAGAACCCTTGCTTAGCTACAAAAAATATTATAAACATAACACAAAATGAAATAAAATAAAAAATGAAAATCTGAACAAACCTATTTAAAAGAATGTTAAACTAGTCACTATCGGACGAGCAGTAAATAAAAATATAAAAATCATCGTCTTTCCTACAAGCAATATGTGCCCACTTTTGACACACAATGCACCGAATCCATTCTTCATTTTTGGACTTCGAAAATGGAGCTAAACATACCAGACACGTCGATTCCTCATCCTCTTCCTAGCTTTCAGAATCTGATTTTTTGAAGATGTTTTTGGTAATGACGGTCCGTTTCTTACATTTTTTAACAGTAGTTTTTACTTGTTTCTTGATTCACCTGATATGTTTATTTTGGTTGCCCCTACATTTTTTTTTCTTTGTCTTACCTTTTCTTCCTCCTCCAAAGCTGATTTAATGGGAGTATCAGTCAAAACAGCGGAAGTTCTTTTCTTCCGACCCCCTTTGGATTTCCTTGGCATTGCTTTTGGATAAGGCTTCAACTCCTGGGGCGTTATATGAGTAGGTGAATCGACAGGTTCGTTTACCCGCCAAGTTAAAATCTGTGCTTGTAGAAGGTTGCTGTTGGGAAGGAGTTCTATGTGTTTCGGTGCCAATAGGTGTCGGATCTATGACTACTGTTGCGTTTATATTTTCTATTATTGGCCTATTTGTTACCTCTGCAGGCAAGAATTCATCATCTTGAAAAATTTCTCTGTTATATGGCCAAATTCCTGTCACACTAAATCCTTTTTGTATATTGAGAGGTGTAACAGCAAGAGGAAATGAATCTTTAAGAACGATAGGTATATCTTAAATGTTCATTACTTTACCGGGATTAGATCTTAACCATGCATCTGCAGCACTATTAAAATATCTTTTAAGTGGGCCAAATACCGTCCTATCAAGCGGCTGCAACTTATGTGATGTATGTGGCGGGAAACTTAAAAGAACCACTCCATTTTCTTTGCAAAAATTCAACACCGGAATAGACAAATGAGACTCGTGATTATCTAATACCATCAAAACGGTTTCTCTTTGCTACATCGTACAAACTGGACGAAATGTTTCATAAACAACAAAAAGTTATCACATGTCATCCATCCAGACAAATAAGACGCACCTACACAACCAGGAGGTCCATTGGCTACCATAACATCTTTGAATTTCTTTCTCGGAAATATTAAAAATCGAGGTACAAAATTTCCAGTTGCGTTGACAGCTAATGCCAAGGTAACAAGTTGACCTCTTTCTCCAGATGTGATAGCACCTACCTGCTTAGTTCCCCTTTTTGCAATGATTTTTGTAGGCCTTTGGACAACTTTAAGTCCAGTTTCGTCCATATTGTACACTTCTTGGAGCTCAAATTTATATTTATTATAAACTTCGCCGAGATTGTTAAAAAACTGTGACACATTATGACGATTATACGCGTAGCTCGACCCATACTAGTAGCTTCAGGTGTCCGGACTGATAAAGTTCGATGCCTCTTCAAAAATCCATATAACCAGTCTCTGGAAGCTATTTCATTAACCTTCCAATTTTCCGGAACAGATATTTGGTTGGCTGTTGCATATTGAAATGCAAATTTTCTCAAATCAGAAGTTGTAAAACCGTAATAAATTTTAGCAGATTGCTCAGTATATTCGGCAAGTTCCTCTTCTTCAGCATTGTTAAATCTTTTTCTGGCCGTAGCGTAGCAGACTAAGTTCTTGTTACTGTTTCAGCACCTAAGTTTTGATTTTCTTTTCATATAGCGGTGCAATGTCATAAAATTAACTCCATAGCGAGTAGCAGCATCCCTAATTGACAAGTGTTCTTGTAAAACCGATTGCGCCGCCCTTTCAAATTGTTCGGTTGGAATAATACCCCTTGTGGTTTTCTTGGTATAACGTTCGCACCATGTTAAGCTATCTGAAAAACAACCAAAACAATTTTCATGATAGAAAAATTTAATAAAACCTAATCTGTGTTTCTAACATGCTTTGCGAAAATAAATGTAGGTAGGTATGCTATTCATTACAAACGAATTACTATCTATAAAATATGTCTGATCATAATATTGGATTTTTAGTGAAATCATAAATTATGGTAACCATATTGTAACCATTGTAGGTATTTCGATATATTCTTACATTAACGTGTTCGGGGCAAATTGTTACAGTAACAACCTGGCCCCAGATTATTGTAACAACTGGCCCCACCTGTACGAAATGAGGTTAAGTCAACGTTTTTTGATAAATATTGAGAATCAATTACTAACAATAGCATGCCAATAACGAGAAATATATACGCTTTAAAACTATATAATACACATATTTATACTACTTACCAATTTCTCACAAATAAAACAAAAGCCACCTAACAACGGTACAGTTTTAGACCGAAACCACATTCTAAGTAATAACACTATGATGGATGTCTGACTTGAGTATCAATATCCTTTCACAGATGACGGGTCGGTTGAACCCAACTTTCCATAAAATATCGGCAACTCATGATACTTGCTGCTTTTTATAATAATTGTGTAACAACTTGCCCGTGTAACAACTTGCCCCCCTCACCCCTACGCCATACTTTTCAACCTAAAGAAGAGCGTGGCTACAGAATAGTCATCAAACACCTACACCATACGGCGGACATCGATGAAATAAAACTGAATTAGCAAAAAATGAACATAAGGTTACAAACACGATATTTTGCATAAGTCGAACAGCGAAACAACCTTTAAATATATTCTTCGTTGACTTAAAACCAGCAGAAAACAACAAAGACGTTTACAAACTGACAAATCTTCAAAATAGAGCTATACAAGTGGAACTTCCAAAAATAACAAAAGCAATCACCCAATGCATGAGATGTCAGTAATATGGCCACTAAAGATTATATTGCAACAGACCATTAAATTTGTGTGCATCAAATGTGGTAAAGAACACAATACGTCAGCCTGCAAAAACAATAAAGATACCTCTGCTAGGTGTGCTTTATGTGATAATGCTCATCCAGCCAATTGCAAAGGATGCCAATTCTATCATAACTTACTCAAGCCAAACAATACCAACAATTGTATAAATATTCAACAAAACGCTAAAAATACAACCACTAGACCTACAATGCGTACAGCAACAATAGTGCCTCTAACCCAATACATAAACAATCGCAGATCATCTATGCTAATGAACTTTAATGAACGTTTTATAATAACTCCCCACACATTCTCGATTGTGTTTAAATCTGGACTGTAGCTGGGCCATGGTAAGTTTTCGATGTTGTTATCTTGAGTCACTGGTTCATTATATTTGCAGTGTGAAGAGGACAATTATCTTAATAAAGGATAAAATTATGTTCTAGATTCAACTGTTCTACATTGGAAAACATGATGTTTTTTAAAATATTTAGATAAGTCTCTTCAACAAATTTTCCATCAATACGCCATACCATTCCCATTCCTCTAGATGAAATTCATCCATATACATTTGCGCTAAAATGACCAAATCCCCGATATCTATCAATATATAGAGGATTAAATCTATTATTATCTGGTATACACACCAATTTCGTCCTTTTTAGATGATTGACAAATATTCTCATCTGTAAATATTACCCTGTCCCTAAAATCTTAATTTAAAAGCTGATAGTTTAAAGCAAATATAAGTCTTGATTACTTTTGTTGTGGTGTAAGAGCTTGTTTTTTTTTCTGAAGTTCAGTACCCAAGGTGCTATGCTTTAATTCTGCGCCAAGTTGTTGTCTTTTTTACCGGAAACTGTGACATAATTCTTGCAGTTTTCGCATCTTTAAAAGAATACTTATCTAATTTTTTCAAAAGCGTACGATCTTCATGACATGTAGATAGTGTTGGTTTTCCAGAACCTTGCATTTTTTCGACAGTTTTTTGTTATCTCCATCTTTTAGTAAATATTAATAACTGTTATTCTGCTTACGTTAAAATGGTTCGCTACGGCAGATACAGACCAACCATCCTCTAATTTTTTACAATTCTTGTTTTTAGTTCTTTGCCAGCATGTGGAGCCATTTTTTGAGGTTGGACAGAATAAGTTATCTGACAAATTATAAGATTTAGCAGTAACAGTGACAGTATGTAAATAATAAATATTTATCCTTTAAAATACACTCAGCAATTTTCTACAAAATACGCATTAGGAGTTGTATCAGTTTTTTAGAAACCAAAAATGTACCTCCAAAGATGAATATTAACTTTCAACTGAAACTTTTTTATATATAAAAATAAGAGAAAATTAAAATATTAAACAGATTTTAGGTGTGTCAGACCTAATAAACTGTAAAAAAAAATTATAAAAGTTATGCCAATAAATATATCTATAATATATTTATTTTCTCTTGACAAAATTACCTTGAGTATATTCACCTTGTGTAGATACAGTCTGAGTAGCACCAACGTTGTCATAAAGACTAGTGGAAGATGTTGCGGCGGTTACTTTTTCTATCCGTACTTCTGAGTCTGTCGTTCTCGTTGTCGCTCGGGGAAGTGTTGAAGATCCTGAAGTAAATAAGGTTTAATTAGAGAATTTTTGCGATAAGCTCTAAAAATTATAAATTATCTGCTGAGCAACTACAGCATCAGAATAAAAACGTGGCTCAGATTTGTCAAATACTAAGTATATTTATTTTTTTTTCATTAGTAGAAATTTTGACTTTAAATATCAAAAATGATAACAAAAAATTAGGTGGTGAATATTAATAGATAAGAAAGAAGCTCTATTCACCGCAGTAATACTGGAAAAAATGTGTTGCAACAAGAAAAGAAGACAATTTGGAGGTAGGTGGCCAGCAATTAGACCTATATTAACATACACGGCTGAGACAAGACCTGAGGATAGAATAGTACGAATAGCACGAGATAAGTCACCAAATAGACGAAGAAGTATTGGCAGATCAAGAAAAAGATGGTGCGACAATTTAAACAATTTAGGAGGCTAATATATATTTATAGAAGAAGAAACTGTATGTAGGCTTTAAAGCATACATACTAGAAGGAAAAAGAAGAAGAACAAGAAGAAAAAGAAGAAGAAGGAATCTAAACTCACTCTTGCCGAAGTTTTGACAACAGCTAAATGTACAGAGAAGAATGGGAAGACCACAAACCTGCCTGCAACCTAAGATAGGTTTAAAAATGAAAAAGTACCTATTTTCACCAATTCCTGCTCAGGACTAAATAATGTAAACTGTAAAGAAAAGTCTTTCATTTTATGTAGTGTATTATGTGTTGAATATTTACGTTAATATAAAGGCCGCAATTGTCTCTTTAAGTTTTATACGGAATAAAAAGATAGTTTTCAGTTGTAGGGTTAATAATAATTCAATAAAAATATTTATTAATTGTATTTGTCCTCTCGTCACCACAAAATTTGTGATTTTTTTATAAAAAATATCAAATATATATTTTTTAATATTTTCAGTATATCTGATTAACCTTCCGCAGATAACGTGAAACATTTTAAAATTTTTGATAACGTCGGTCTAACAAACCGACTTTTTCTAAAATTAAAAAAAAAATAGAAATTTAGCTGTAGGTGATAAATATTTGTAATAATATAATTGTGTATATTATTCTCTATACAAATATATAAAATTTATAATTTTTTTGTTATTTTAATAATTTTAAGGAGATATTAAAAAAAAGTGTCATTTTTATGAACAGTCTTTTAATAAAATCAAAATAATTATAACAAAAAAAATAAATTCTGGTTTCACTAAAACATAAATCAGTTACTTGTATGTTAATAAACAGAGAAAATAAAATTTTACTCTCAAAATTTTCACAGATCACTGAAACTATTCCAAATTTTGGGCACCATAATTTTCAAAACAATGCCTGGATATTTTCGCCACCTTGTAGTTCCATCTTTACCGATAAGGCAGGGTATTCTTGAAGTACAAGCGGTTTCTTCAAGAATAGGTAAGTTTTGTTGATTTTCAAACTCCTCTTCAGAGTATATATCCTCAATAGTTTCTATAATATGGTCGTCTATCAAACTCACATCATCATCATCTGGTTCTGCCTCTGAATCATTTAAAACTTCCCCATGAAGCCGCAACAGCCATTCTTGTTCCCTCTCGTAATTCATTAGAAACGTATGCCCTAAAATATAATATAAATCAATACCGCAAACAAAAAATCAAAAAAATTAGTCTTACCTCAAAATGTAACGGCAACTATAACGTCGGTTTGTGGGACCGAATCGTGTATAATACTGAAAATTCTTATTAAACGATACACGCTGTCCACTTGCTAAACTATAACTGAATAGATACAAGCACGTTCGAAAGGTACTATGGGTGCAGATTGAAATAAAAATTAGCAGCGCTTAAACCGCGAAAATTTAAATCAGTCGTGCGAGAGACATAACGTTATCATCCGAAGGTTAAATAAAATGAACTACAATATATAATTTTTTATATATTAAGTATAAAAAAATCTTGCGGTAAGTGATTAGAAGTTGCTTCTTCCATATTTTTCTAAATTTGGATGTGACCTATATTGATGAGACATTTTTCATGTTCATTCTGGATATTACATCGAAAAATATTGATTTTCACCAAATTTTTATAGGCAAATCATATTTCATATCATTTTTGACAAATTAATTTAACTTTAAACTTAAGAGATATGAAATAATATCCACAATAAAACTGTAAAGGATAACAAACGCCCAATGCATAGCCAAAGCACGTCCGGGTCTACGTTCCGCAGTTAAATTTTAACTCAAAATCCGGTCCTATCCTATGATTATCCCTTTATAAATTGCCTGTTCTCTGTGAAATATAGACCGAATAAAACGGGATTCATTTGGTAAATAAACTAGATGGCGAATCTTGAGAACACTCAAAATTTAGTTTCACCTTTTTTGCACAGTGAGTGACTGTCACTCCCTTTTTTATATATGCGTTACATTTTGCCTTTAGATGCTCACTAAACTAAATTGAGTAATTGAGAAAATTTACAGCAAAGCATCAACTGGAATTAATATTTTTTTTAATGTATACAAAAAAAAAGAAGCTATTTAAATAGTCAATTAAAGATGTCTCTATAAAAACTTCCTGGAAAGAACTTTCCTGGGAATAACTATAAAATTCATAAATTTTATACTATTATAATAATTAGGTATTTGTCTTCGACGGTTAACAAATTTTGCTTACGCCTTCAGTCGAAACAGGTCTAAAGTGCCCCAGGATTTACAGTGGGTGATCAAATTATTATGATCACAGCAAAAACTTTGTATTTTGGTGTTTAATAAAGAATAAAACTCCAGTAAGCATCTAATGATATGAGTTAATTAATTTTACAATTTTGTCATTTTTTTTCTTTGACCTTAAATAACAATTTTTTTTTAATATTTCCTCACCGGAGGGACCGCAGACGTTCGGATACAATTAGCGTCTCTTAGCAAAGACAATGACGTCGACTTTGCTAAGTATCAAGACAATTACTCTACACACACACACACACACACACACACACACACACACACACACACACACAAACACCACACACACACACATCCACACACACTACACCTCAAATTGTAAGATTGGCGAATGGATTTAGTGTCCGCAGTCATTTAAACACAAACAAACAACAACAACAATATTCCTGTAACCTCCTTAAGCTTTAATAACAGTTTTAATCCTTTTTGCATGCTTTAAATGTTTTTTAATCAGTCTTCTTTTATTATATCGTCTCTGTGTCAGGTGGCTAATGAGCTTTTCAATTAACTGCCTGCTATTTGTGATAATTTCTTGGGCAATCCCCATCTTCGTGAGCTCTCATAGATTTTCGATCCGGTTGAGGTCTGGGAAATTATCCTGGCTATTTCAGTACTTTAATTTTCGTTTTTGTTCAGTTACGATATTACTGTTTGCCATATGACACGGTGCAGAATCGTCCATAAAGGTAAAATCTTGAATTCGCCAAACCAGTTTTAATTTGTGGCATAAGCTTGTTTCTCAAAACTTCAAACTACTGATGTTGGTTTATCATTCTCTTAACAATCTAAAGGCTCTCTGTGCCTTTGCTACTAATCAGACCACACCATGATCTTAAGAGGATGCTTTACTCGCTTCACTATGCAATCCTTGTGATATTTTTCACCCACCCGTCTTGGAGGAAGGTCCACTTATCCATGAGTATGGATATTTAGTATGTTCTCTAGTAGAGCAATAAGCATAAATGTAGAAGACGTTTCTGTTAGAGGCATGGTTACGAGGGGATGTCCACAGGAAGGGGTGCTATCACCACTACTATGTAACATAGTTCTAGACACCTGGTTGACCAACTCAACAGCAACGGTTTCTACACAATAGCCTATGCAGACGATATTGCTGTCCTGCAAAGCGGTAAGTTTGAAAACACACTATGTGAGAGATCACAAGTTGCTCTTGACTAATAGAAACATGGTGCAAGGAACACTCACTATCTATAAATCCTAAGAAAACAGAGATGGTCCTCTTTACCAGGAAAAGAAGAATCACGGTCTTAATACCCCCAAGGATTTTAAACTACAGTCTAAATTTTTCTGACGAGGTGAAGTACCTTGGTATTACCCTCGACAGGAAGTTAACATGGAACTCACACCTAGATGGTAGAGCTAAAAGTACATATATTGCCTATGAACAGTGTCGACGAACGGTTGGACGCACCTGGGGCCTCACGCCCAGGGTGATCGCCTGGGTCTACACCGCTGTCATTAGGCCAATGCTAACTTACGGAGCTATTGCTTGGATACCAAAAGTTGCTACAGGCAACAGCGATTAACAAACTAAACCATATTCAGCGGATGGCTTGCATAAATATAACAGGTGCCATGAAAACAACACGAACTGCTGCAATGGAGTTGATCATTGGCATCACGCCTCTAGACATATATGTCAAAGAGGTGGCTCTAGTGACAATGATGCGACTGCGCTCAGCTGGTGCAAACCTTGATGTAGGAATGGGACAATTGAGAACTCGTTTTGGCGGGGAGAGCTGGATGCGTTACCAGTACTACAGGCAGGCTGCGACTCAATTGAACCAAAGTTCGTCTTTAACAAACCCTACAAAATTGAAACAAGACAGTATATGGAGACAAACGTGGCAAATGCCTATTGCGTATACACCGATGGCTCCAAAATGAAAGAAGGCTCAGGATGCGGGATATACTCCAGATCACTGAACCTAAGAATAAAGTGGGGTATGGGCAAAAATGCCAGTGTAGTTCAGACAGAACTAACTGGTATTTCCATAGCCGCAAAAGAGATAACCCAAAAAGGTATAGCAGGGAAAACTATAATGATCTGCACAGATAGCAGACAAGCGCTACTAACCTTGAATAGACCACGTGTCACATCAGGTTTAGTAATGGAGTGTCACGAGTCACTAACTCAAGCTTCGGATGGTAATACCATCATCCTGAAGTGGGTTAAAGGACACAATAGGAATAAAGGCAACCGCATTGCTGACCAATTATCTAGGAAGGCGGCAGGCCTAAGACTATTAGGACCTGGGGATCTTTTTGGTTGGTCAACTACAACAATCGCGGAAATTGTCAAATGTCACTCCCATACGCAAACTGTAAAAAGATGGGAAGAAGGGAAAGGATGTAAACTTGCCAGGGTAACACTAAGTAACCTTGAAGAGTCAACATCAAAGAAGTACTTGGGAATGACCAGGAAAAATCTACGTTTGGCAGTTGGTTTTTTAACTGGTCATTGTCAACTAAGCAAACACCTCCACACACTGGGGCTAGTAGACACACCTCTATGTAGAAAGTGTGAACGAGAAGACGAAACTGTAGAGCATGTCTATGTGAATGCCCAGAGTTATCGTTAATACGAGAGTACGCGTTCGGCGAGTCCTGGCCTACACCTGCCCACATAAGTGAGATGTCTCCTGGTGACTTGTCCACCTTCCTAGAAATGGCAGGATGGACAATGAGCTAAGGGTGACAGCTCCCTGGGAGAATGCACAATGTGTCAATTGTGGCCTAAGTGCTGTGAAACTTAACTCGCCCTCCTACTCTACAGATACAGATCCATGAGTACCTTCACTGTAGTTTTATCAGAGAAACAAACCTGTGAGAAAAACAAAAATATAGGACATATTTTCAGAATAAAAACAGTGGTTGTAGGGATTTAAACTTTAATAGTGATGTAGTTTGTCTTATTACAATCCTCAATTGTCCAATTTTGGTGTTCTTTGGCACACTGTAGTCTCTTTTTAATCATTACGACGGTCCACTTTAGTTTTTTGGCAGGGCGATATAATTTGAAACCTTGTTCAACAAGTTCAATGTGCTAAAGTTCAATGATGAACCACAACTCACCTGCTGAAATATTAATGCCTATAATAAGTCTCCAGTTATCAGATTAACCGTGGGAGCTGCCATGGGTTTTCAATTTTCTCTTATTTTTATTTTAATCCAGTTGGGATTAGAAAATTTCATTTTAATGTCCTCTTAAATAAATTATATTCTCTCAGATTCTGTAGATATGTAAATGTAACAACTTTTAAAGAGAATGAAAAATGCGTAAATAGTTTGTCGACAATAATATAATATGGAATTAATACCTTCATACTACGGGCCTGTACGCACGAGGGCGTTAGACGCGGCGTAAACCGAGTAAAGCCGCGGTTTACTAGAATGTCGACAGCCAGAGCAATGCCAGTTGTGGAGATAGAGAATTTAGCATGTAGGTATTTGGGCGTTACACCGTAGATTCAGAGCAAAACAAAGACAAAAAGAAGATGTTGTGTGCATCCTTTAATTATTGATGGATTAATCATGAGTTATTTTGTGACTCTGTACCCCAATTTAAAAAACACCTTCCAAAGATTTTTAACTAGGTACGAATGAGTATAACATCTTTTGATGAACTGTTAAATTTATTATATAAATGCTTTCAACACGGTATAACAATGTATCATATATCATCTCCTAGTAGCTAGAAACGTGCTGCAAACGCGGCGTTTGAAGTATATTCTAAAAGCGCTATTTTTTATGACATTGGTTCTAAACGCGTGCTTGCATGTGAACGAAACCAGCTATTCCTTGGAACTTAGAACGCAGTGGTTAATCAAACGCGGCGTCTAACGCCTGCATGTGTAAATGTTGATACTAAAGTACATTCGTTTAGTAAATTCCCATGTGTAAATACAACGCACGTGTTGATATTCCCTTTCTCATTCGTTAAGAGGCTATTAAATATAATTTATTCTCTTAATCCAGACGAATTCCCATGTTAGAAATCCAAACTTGCCAGTCTGTTTAAATTCAAATAGTAGCGTGTTGGTTTTGAGGTTAATATATTTTGTGTTAAATGATATAGTTATTGTTAAGTTATTTACTGGTCCTGTTATTTTTTAGAGTTTAGTTTAAATGTGATTTAATGATTAAATTTCAGGAAATTCTTAAACTAATAGTTTCAAAAGTAAATATTTTGAAAATCATATGATACAGCCCAATACGACCCTGTTTGGCTTTCACGTGCGTCTGTTGACAATTGAAAGTATGTAAAATGAATGTAGTTTAGCTATTATAACGAAAAATTTTTGTCCTCTTTACAATTTTTAGAAAATATGGTTGTACCATATTAAAATACATTTATTTGCACTTTTTATCAACACGTAGAACTAGAAAACATGTACTTAACATAATACTAACAATAAACTATGAAATTTTCGATTGATGCACAACTCACCCCTATATCTGGGATCTTGCGCCTTGAGCCTCGCATACTGCTCCGACGTCATGCACGTGCATTGTGGTTCACGGCCGGAAGCGGCCGGCCTGCTGGGGGACGCTGGCGTGCTGAGCGGTTTCCGTTTGCCGCCCGCCGTCTTCAACTTCTGTTTGTTGGGCGGTTCCAACTTGAGGCTGTACGAAGAGGAAGCCTTGCGGCTGAACTTGAAAGACGGCGACTGCAACAGATCAGACTGCGTTTAATAAGCATTTTTAGAGCTACAACAGCACACTGATACATAATTATTTAGGTCAGTTACTAAATTTTTAGTTTTGCAAAATTATTTTAAAGTTACGACAAACATTTACTACATATATAGACTATAAGTAAGTAAAGTAAGTACTATATAACATCTCCATTAAGGAAGTTCACCAGTATATTATATACTGCACATACAAAAAATATATTTTTAAATATTTTATTGCGAAGAAATGTCAAATTGCAAAATATACCAGCTCGGAAACTTAAAAAGCTACATTTTCAAAATATTTTTCGAACTGAAAGTAATTAAATTACAAAACTATGTTCTAAAGTTTGGTTTATTCTTAAGAAAACTGCACACGATTTCCATATCGGCCTTGTTATTTGTTCTGATACTTATTTGTGCTAATAAAGCATATACAGATTGAACGAATTTAAAACGGATCATACAATTTAATATATGTCTGTTTGAACTGCATTTGAAATAGTGGACCAATATAAAACTTGGACAAAAATAAATCCATACCCGGTGTTAGACATTGTATAAAATATCGTTCAACTATCCGTCTCCATTTAGAACGTACCATAGTCTAGAGCGCAGCTCAAAGTCAATGTTGCCAATCGCCGTGTAATAATCCGATTTGCGAATCTTTTTGAGAGTTATATCTTCTTCGTATCTTTAAATAAATCGGATATTTGCCTATATTTTTCATTGTATTTACCAATCTACTACAACAGACTAATAACAAAAATAAACTTAATGGTTTGTAGTTATTTCAGAAGTTTGTAGTTATTTTAGAAACATCTAGTGGAATGATATTGACAACACCGCTCAAAATCTCCATCTCCGATAAACGAAAGAGGGGCTTGCCTAAAGGCGGCCACTCACGATACAGCGGCGTTGTTCAACTTCGCTTTTAACTACAACACTTGCTTTGATCATATTATAGAAAATCGAAATGGCTTGATTTAGCGAGAATTTTTTAAGAGAGTTTTTTAAATTATATAAAAAACCAGAATGCTTATAGCGAATAAAAGGTAAAACGTATCACGATAGAAACGCCCGAAAACAGGCAATGGACATTCTAGTTTTAAAGTTCCAAGAAGTAAACAAAGATGCGAATGAAGAGTATGTAAGAAAAAAAAATTAACAATTTTAGAACATCCTATAAAAGAGAATTAAAATTAGCAGTGCAGTCCAGTAAATCGGGTAGCAGGGGCAGACGAGATTTATTTTGCACCAAAATCTTGGATTCTTTGCACCAGAATCTACGTTTTATTTTAGGTTTCTTTTTACGCTTAGTTATACACAAAATAAGAGACGCTAAAATGATTGTTTGATTTGACATGGTCGAGAACCGAACAAATACTGCGGCGCAGTATGGTGTGTGAGCGCACCAGATATACCAACAAATTGAACAACGCCTCTGTCCGATTATGTCGAACGACACCGCTGTACCGTGAGTGGCCGGCTTTAGGAAGCGATAGGTGGTTTGACCACCTATAAATGAGTTCTTGAATTAGTTCAGAATCCAGCAGCCCGCTGAAGTATTGGATTTTTATAATATAATTATTTGACAACCTTTTGTTGGCCACCTACAGCAGAATTGAGCCGAAATACATAATATTTCGTATGTTCCGAGTTTATTTCGTTCAATCTGTATGCTGTATTTTTAATGGGTCTTCTAAAATTGAGTATTATATTTTCTACATTGTCTCGATTTTAAAACTTACAATGGGGTATATCTCACGAATAAAAGCTAATATCGCAAAATGTTTAAAACTGTTTCTAGGATAGTAAGGAAAACTAAAATAACATGAAAGAGAACTCACTCCATCAACCTCTAGGCCCCACCCACCACAATCCAACAAAGTTGGTTGTAAACCCCTACTTGTGATTACTTTTCATCATTAAAAAGACTATTAAAATGCTATCCAATGGTACAATTAATAATTATATAGGGTGAACCAATAATTGTCAAACTTTGGCTTTAATGGAAAATTTAATGAGGTTTTTTGTTGAACTACAAATTTGTTAAAAATGTCAATTAAGTACATTTTCAAAGTGGGATCCATTGTTATGTAACAATAATACAACCAATTTTCAAATTCTGCACGAACTTTGGCAAATGTTGTTCCAGTAATAGCGCGACATGCTTGCGTAATTCTTTCTCGCATTTCTCCAAGTGACGCAGGTTGAATTTTACACACAATTGACCTGAGATAACCCCACAGAAAAAAAAGTCAGGTGGCGGTAAGTCTGATGACCTCGGTGGCCACTCAATAGGAACTCTTCTTCCAATTCATTTGTTCGGATAATTAGTATCCAACCAGTGCCTAACTGGAGCTGTATAGTAAGGAGGTGCTCCATCTTGTTGGAAGTGCAGCAAATCTTCGTCTAGAGATAGGTTGCCTTGATCGTCCCTTTGGTTCTCTAATTTATGCACAATTAAATGGTTCGATGGTGTTTTCCTGCATATCGAGATACATTTCGCCACTAAAATTGCCTGGTATGAACAGGGGACCGATTATAGCATCGCCTGATATTCCTACACAAATGTTCAGTTTTTCAGGATACTGAGTGTGATCTTCTCTAAATCGATGTGGGTTCATATCACTCCAAAACCGACAGATTTGTGATGACAAGGATGACTTCTATGATGCCCTAGAAAGAGAGATAGATACGATGCCCAAACAAGATATGCGCATATTCTGCGGGGACTTTAATTATAGGCAAAGAGTAAACACAGCTACACAATATATCCAACGACAATGGCTTAAGACTCACAGAAACTGCAGCCGCTAATAATATGCTAATGAGGTCAATAATTTTTCCGCATAAAGACATTCATAAACAAACCTGGTCTCAACAACCATATTAGGCGTAGCAAATTGACCAGATCATGCAGTAGCCTGTCATGGAATAGTATATTACATAACGAGTTGTAAGAGATTTACATGCAAGTAAAAAAGTTGCGCGCGAGCGCGTAGACGGCGAGACGCAGTAATTTACAAGCATGTAATAGCTACAATACAAGTATGTACTATACTTTTTTACCATTATTTCGTTTTTAAAAATAAAAAATTACACTATATTACACTGACAGATTAATAATTTTAATCTGTCAAATAACGTCTGTTTATTCGTTCCATGGTAATGACCAGACTTACAGGCTTAGTGATTTACACTTTTTTAAAATGGCGTAATTTTTTTATACGTGTTATTACGTGTCATCGTTTGATCATACTAGCATCCAATAGAGGTAATTACAATTTACTGTAAGAGAGTAGAAAAACAATTTATAGAAGTAAGATCTTGAAAGAATAGCGAGACACAGATCATTACTTAGTCAGAGCAAAGTCAAACAGATCTTATCACACAAATACAATAAAACAACATAAACCCACAATGAAACATGAACGAAATACACAATACAGAGAAACAATAAAACTATAAAGAACAACTTGAACAAAACTTAAACTCTGAAAGAGATTACAATAATACAGAACAGCTATGGGAAACGACTGCCGAAATAATAACCAAGACAGCAGACAAGATCTTTGGAAGAAGTAGGCAGAAGAGGGCAAAAACATGGTATGACGAGGAATGTCGGACACAGCTGAAAAAAATAGTAAGGTAGACTTGGATACAAGTGCAAACAGACCAAAGTTAAAAGAATATGACGACTGCCGAAAAGAAACAAGAAAAATAGTACGCACAAAGAAAAGAAACTTGAACAACAAAAATATGAAGCTATGAGAGAGAGGCTGGCCCAAATAGGCTCCAGAGAATTCTATAAAGCAATTTCCTCTGAGAAAAGAGGACATTGAAACCAATTTCATCCATACACTAAGAGTACAATCAAGGCCGTATAATAATCGACGTAAAGAAGTAACTGAAGAATGGAAAGAGTATTTTAGGGACCTTCTTAACATCATACAGGAAGAACAGCACAAAGAAGAGATCTACATCACAGGGACATGCCCGTCAAAAATCCCTCCTTTAAAGAAACCCAAAAGGCCTTAAATAAGCTGAAAAATCACAAAGCGCCGGGTACGGACGAGATACCAGCAGAACTTCTGAAATATGGAGGAGACGCACTACATCGCCAAATCCACCAGTTAATAACGCACATATGGTTAGAAGAAAGAATACCAGCACGATATAAGAAAACAAATAGTGCCATCCACAAAAAGGGGACAAAACAAAATGCGCGAAATATAGAGGAATTTGACTCCTAAACACGGCATATAAAACCCTACTCAAACATCATTCTTAGTAGACTAATTCCTTATGCTGAAAATGTCCTAGGTGAATATGAAGCCAGTTTTAAGGCAAACAGATTAACAATAGATCAGCTATTCACGCTAAGATAACTTCTAGAAAAGATATAGGAGTATAACAGACTCATACACAATCTTTTCATAGACTTTTAGCAGGCATATGATAGCGCTAGATAGAAGCGAAGTATGGAATGCCATGGCGGAGTTCTCAATACCAAAGAAATTCATTCAGATGACAAAGTCTGTATGTAGGGTGTAATATATAAAGTACGTGTAAATAATATAATGTCTGGGAGCTTTGAAATCAACAGTGGACTCAAACAGGGTGATGTGTTATCTCCACTACTTTGTAACCTTGTATTAGAGAAAGCCATGCGGTCGGCCGAAATAAAAACATAATTGCTATCGGTTCAAGGTCCAAGCTCTTACTCGTATATGCAGATGACAAAGATCTCGATGGAGACTCCATCCTATCCACGAAAGACATTTTCAATAAGGTGGAAGGAGCAACAAGTGAAGTAGGGCTGAAGATTAATGAAGAGAAAACGAAAATATATGTGTATAAATATGAACGACACGAAAGAGACAAAACAGGACAAAATGTGACGGTTAACACCTCAAGAGTACAACATTTTAAGTGTCGGGGGCCATAATTACAGCTGACAATTCGTCGGTCTGGATCATCATCAGCTAGCTCTTGAGGAACTTGTGTTTTGTACGGGTAAAACTTATGTAATTTCAACACCTTATTAACCGACTGATGTAAATCATATGTTGGGGGCATCCCTTTTTATTTTATACTGATCCGTTTCTCTATACTTTCAACTAAATCGCGGATGTACACGTAACAGTTATTAAAATAAACAGTTAAGGGGCGGTAACGTACCAAATTCTGTTTTTACAATGAACAATTTACACACACGGAACACAAACAACCGGTTGTCTATTGAAGTATCAGCAGAAATTGCAAGAAAGCAGCAGGTCCACTATAAACAAACAGAATACACATCCTAAAATGCACCAAACTAAATATGCTGACAACAGATAAATACTAATATACCAAATATTTCACTACATCAATTTGCTCTTCTCCACCACAACCATGAAAATTCCCCTACACAATCTCAAACCAATTTACTATAATCCAAACAACCCATCTATTGTAGGACAATCCTCAAACAGACAGCTAAAGCTTACAATCAAACATTCATAAACTCGGATATAGAGTCGCCGATAAAAAAGCCAAAATAAAAAGTCATTCAACTCCAAGCTCATTAGAAAACAAAAACAAGAAAAACACCCTGAACAAAACTGAAACAGGAATATAAACAACAAAAAGTAACAAAATCACCTGCAATATTCATATATGGGCGGTCAAGAAACTTAAAAAATTATGGTCGTATAACTTTTGCACAAATAGTGGAGGAAGACACCTACTATACTCAGAACCCTGCCCAAACAACACTGTGGAAAGATTACAGCATATACAAAAAGATATCTATCGAAAACTGATAAGGCATTTATAAGAAGAATAAATAATTTACCATACTTATCAAATAACGGAAAGAAGAACGTAGAAAAACTAGAGAAAAACCGGTCATAAAGTCCGCAATATAACTAACATCTGACATAAGGCAAACAAATTCTTATCTTTATTTTTTCATAGACCTTGAAGTCAAAAGTAATAAATAAAGAAATATATTAACCTAAAAATGTCCACACCCAAATAGCAGTCGATCGGTACCAAGAATAGAAACGGCCAAACACTACTGCGTCAAATGTGGAAGACAAGATTGTACAAAAGATTGTAGAAAACCTAAAAACACCTTAGTTAAGTGTTGTAATATATATAAACCTCCTTCCTATTAACTCCAAAGTTCTGCATGGTAGTGTTCTAGGACCTTTATACTTTTCATGTCATAGTGAAGTGGGAAAAAGGATGGGTTTATATAGACTGCAAGAAAAACTTAAGCAATCTTTCAGTTGCAAAAGATTCAAAATTTCTTTTCAGGTAGAAGCGAACCACAAGAAAGGTACGCCAATGATCCCAGAAGACATCCAAAGTCTGGTGGTTATAACTGGTATCTTCTTCTTAGGGTGCCTGTCCGTTCCGAACGTTGGCGATCATTCTGGCTATGATGATTTTGTTGGTTGCTATTACGAAATAGCTGTGTTGAGGGTCTTTCTATACCATGCTCTCAGGTATAACAAGCCAGGTATATTCTCTTCGTCCTGGGGCTTTTTTCCTTCAATTTTACCTCGCAAAATGCATTGGAGTAGCTCGTATCTGCCTTGATTTCTCATAATATGTCCCAAGTACTCCAGCTTACGGCTCTTCACAATGTTGACCAAATCCGCGGTTGTGTTCATCCTCCGCAGTACTTCTTCATTGGTGACTTTGTCTGTCCATGGTATCTTCAGGATTCTTCTGTATAACCATTATTCAAACTCCTGAAGTTTTGATAGAGTTTCCGACCTTCAATGTCTACGTTTCTACTCCATACAGAAGCACTGAGTAAACGTAACATTTAAGGAGCCTTATTTTTGTTTTCAGTGTGAGGTCATGGCTTTTAAACACAGAGCTTATAGCCAAAAATGCACTTTTGGCCTTTCCGATGCGACATTTAATCTCTTGGGTATTGTCCCACGACTCATTGATTATAGTTCCCAAGTAATTGTATTGTGAGACACGTTCAATTCTCATTTAGTTCACATACAGATTTGCTCCAGTTATGTTTTGCTTGCTGATGATCATTAGCTTGGTTTTGCTGGTGTTTGTATTCAGTCCATAGATTCTACTTGTTTCTGTTATTTGGTTCATTAAGTTTTGCTGCCCTTCTATGGTATTGGAAAACACTATTGTATCATCTGCATACCGCAGGTTATTAAGCTTGACTCCATTTATTGAGATGTCTTCATCAATATCTTTTAGGGCCTCTTCAAAATGTGTTTCGAGTACAGATAACTGGTATACAGATGGTTTAAAAATGGAGGATGGTTCGGGAACTAAATTATACAGTGGTGATAGAAACAACCATAGTTCAGTGCCACTGAGACAGCACATATCTGTATTCCAAGAAAAAATCTATGCAATCCTGATGTTCAAGAGTAACAATATAAGGGCTTACGCAAATAAGCGGATTAATATCTACACAGATAGTCAGGCAGTATTAGTAACTTTATACAACCCAAAGATTAAATCCAAATTAGTATGAGAATGCCGCGAAGAACTTAACAACTAGCTGACTACAACGGTGTAAAACTTGTTTAAGTTTAGATCATCAAGTGATCGTTGGTTATAAAAGAGAGATGAATTTGCGAAAAGAGGACCAAAGATACTTTGGTCTATAACCGGTTCTGGTTGTACCAAAAGTATAATCAGAAATCGAATAATAGGCTGGGTTCGGATAAAACACAAAGTCTACTGGGAAGAAATTTCCACATAAAATCATGGAAAGAGTTTCATAACTCTGGATATGCGAAAAAAGAACTGCAGAAAGGCGCAAAATGAATAGAAACAAGCCCAAAATCATAACAGGGTTACTGAACATATGCCAGTAAAAGGATATCTGATTACGATAAAACTATACAAGGAGACCTAAGTTGCAGAATATGCAACAAAGTGACTAGGAAAATTCAACGAGTTATTGGATCGAAGATGATATATGAACATTGCAGACCAAGTCCAAACTTAAAGAAAGTGTCTGTGTCTGTATATAGCGATGATACTATTGCTAATAAATAAACTCAAAAATGTATAATTGCTACTTACACAACATTCTCTAAACTGTTTAGCGTCAATGGGTGAGGTGAAATTTAATCCCCATGTGTCGTTGGTCATGGGATCCTTCCAATACACAAAACAGTCGGATGCTTGGCCAATTCTTGTTCCTAAAAATAATATTTATTTACTAAATATCTAAATATATAACATAGGAGTCTTATAGTACAGCTAATTGATCCACAATAAACATTTTTCTTGAAAGTAAAAAATAATTCTTATATTTTCGATCAAATTCCAACCAATTTTAATAAACTCTGAGAAAGTGTAGTACTTAATGAAACATAACTTATTGGATTTTGAAGGCAAATAATAAATGTAAAGTAAGTGTTTTATAATCGGTTACTTGATTATACTTAATAATTTTATTTTTCTTTTTTGTAATATCCGTTTTTTCATGATTGTTAATAAATTTCCATTCAACGTTATCTTTATGTTAATTGCCTTATTCAGGTTTTATATTTGAGATCAATAAAAATTTAATTTTTTTGTAAGATGCATGCTCATTTGTTCTTATATTTATTAGTCTTGATGTTTGGAATAGCTAAAACTTTCCTATTCAGAAATTATTCTTATAAACAAAATCATTTTTTCTTTCTAGTCGATTAGTAACATATATTTTGCCCCTTTTTGTAATTTGTAACAAAAAAAGGTCTACTTAAATAAAAGTATATTTTTACACAAAAACAAAATTTCATATCAGAAAAGCTTTCCATGTATTATTTATTTAATTGCCAATTAGTACTGCAAATTTCTCTACGCTGGCCTGTAATGTCCATTTTGTAAAAATTCATGTAAACTGGAATTATTTCCTCGTTAACCCATAGATTTTTAGTTATAAATAATTGATTGTGCACATTGTGAACATTTACGTATTACACAATCCACTTGTTTTTATTTATTCGAAAACGTTTAAAACTTTTAGATTTTACTTTATTTCAGTTAATATTACACTGCTGAGCATGAAATTAGGGTCTCCCCTAGGAAAATTCATTAAAAAAAAATTTAACACTGTAATGCGAAAACTTTGAATTATCCATATGTATCTGTTCCTCTGCCTTAAATACATTTTTTCTTATTAGAACAGATAGAATTACAAATAAAGTGACAAGGAGCTTATAACCCAAGGATGGTATTATCATCATCATCATATAACGGGGGTCCTACGGCGATTGCCGCTTCCCGCATTTCAGCCTTCATCTTTTCCTATCTCTCCAATCTCCCTTTTCTAAGCCTCTAGATAGCATTGTTTTTGTAATTTCTTTTCTCCAGGAGTTTGGTGGTCTTCCCCTTTTCCTTCTTTCTGGCGGAACATACATTAAGGCTTTATTTGGCCACCGCTCCTCCTCCATTCTCATCACGTTACCATACCATTGTAATTGCCTTCCTTGTATTCTATCTAAAAGAGTCTCTCTAATTCCTGTACGGTTTCGTATTTCCTCATTCCTGATTATTTCCATTCTCGATACTTGACATGACCTTCTAAGATAATCCATTTCCACAACGTCTACTTTATCTCGTTCATGCTTTGCCATCGTCCAACATTTGGCACCATATGTGGTAATCGGTTCTACAATTGCTCTGTATACACGAAGTTTGATATGCATCTTTATTTTATTAGACCACAGTAATGAAATCAGTATTCGGCATTTTTTCCCTTGGGTTATTCGGTTTTGTACATCTATCTTAACTCTGCCATCTGCTGATATGATGCTTCCTAAATATTTATACTGGTTGCAACCTTTTATGACTGCGTTTTCAAGCCTTAGATCTGTGGTATTTCCTCCAATTTTTAAATATTCTCCTCTCTTTTGGTTCTCCTTCCGGTCACGTTGGATCAAAACGTAGGACTTAGAAAGTCCAATTGCTTTCTTGGTTATAGTAATATCATTAGAATCTGGGTTTATGTTTTATAGTGCATCTATAAATTTGTCGTACTGGACTCTATCTAATGCTTTTCGAAAATCTATGAAACATGAACTATACAAACACAATACCATCATATTTACGTATTGTACAACAGTACCATCATTTCAAACAGTGGTTCTCTTGTCTATATTCTACCTCAAAATCCAAAATGTGTGTTGCCTAATTGCTCTTCACATTTATTGTACTGCTAGTCAAAAGTCGGTTCCACTCGTATCTTTTCAACGGTTATTGTTATAATAGTGAAATTTGGAGGGAGGTAATAAACACACCTAGGCTTCTTAACTAATCATAAAAAGTGACGGAATAGTTACAGATCAGGTTACAGCGCCATTCTGACAGTAATTTTAAATGGGACCTTATGGCAAGTGATACCTCGTTTGAAAGGTATTGAAAATACCTATTCAGTCATAATAATTTTGTTTGTGTTAAAGCTCATTTAGATAAATAAATTAAATAAATACTTAAATTGTAGCTTTTCATTTAATTAATAAATATTTAACAATCATTTCTTATAGTAAGTATTCAAAATGTGATCCATCTACTTCCTGTCAGTAATGCATCCTATTTCTAAACTCTTGCCATACTCATTTAAATGTGTCATTGCCTATATTCTTCGACAGGTCGTTGTTTCAAAATGTCAATATCGTCGGGTGCTGTAGCGTAAACTTTAGATTTCAAGTATCCCCACAGAAAAAAATCTAATGGTGTGAGATCCGCTGACCGAGCTAGCTAAATAAAATGTGGTATTTTTCTTTAGGCAAAACTCTCAAAATTATTGATTTACTAACATCATTGATGTCGGCAAGTTCTCGAGTTGTCTTATGGCGGATTTTCCTCGATCTTTAGAAGTACATCTAAGTTTTTTCATCAGTAAATTTAACATTTGTACCTGGTTTTTCAATGTTTTTTACATGTCCAGTATAACGAAACTTCTTTTTAATTTTGCTAATTGTAGACTGCGACACTTGTTGACTAGGGGATTTATTATTAAATATTTCACAAACCTCCTTTTGAGTTTTTGTTTTATTAGCACAACCAATCATAATGAAAATGTTTATTCTTTGAGTCTCGGACAAATTGAGCCATAATTAAATTTAATATGCATACAAATATTATACTGACGTCTTTTAGTAAGTGATAGCGCCCACCAAACTGACGTGCCACGTGGCAAGTAGCAAGTAGCACGCGTCTAGCATATTACTTAAAATGTAACCAATGAAAACGAATGATTCAGCGCACACCAAAATGGCAGTGACGTCATTCGATCTAATCATTCGTTTGCATTGGTTACATTTGATGTAACATGCTAGACGCGTGCTACTTACTACTTGCCACGTGCCACGTCACTTAGGTGGGCGCTCTCCCTAACTTTCAATTCTAAATGACAGCAGCCTACTAGATTTTATATCAATTATTTATTTGGCTTTTGACTAAGATTTTATTAACTTCAATAATGTTTAGCAAAACAGATACGAAATAACTGATTATTTCTAAAGTATATTTTAAGAGAACAGGCAATATTGCTGATTTAAAAGTTAGGATACCTAAAGAAATTAACAAAATAACCCCCGAGGTCATAAAAATGTACGAAAATTCCAAAATCGCCTCGGTTATTGTCATGAAGTGACTGGTGGTCATTTTGAACATTAGTTTAATTGTAAAGTACATTGAAGAATGCATTCTAAATATTATGTGACATTATTATCGTCATTCAACCTAAAGTTTTGTGATAGAGACATTATCAAAATTTTACATCTTAAAATCACTTTTCTGAGTTACGATTGCACCACACTTGAAAAACTTTATATTGCTGAATAGACGACTAATATCCCTTTCTAACAAGGTGTCACACGACCAACTTTGTTATTTAAAATTCTCGAGGGGATGCTTATATTTCAAAGAGGGCGGCTGGAGGGGATAATATTTTTATACTGTAAATTGTCAATTTAAGAATAAAAAGTCGACCTGTTTCAGGTGTTTTTTTTTCACATAGTACACATAATGCTAAAAATGAATTTATTACATACATATGTACCTCATGGTATAATTGGGTACTGTAATTGATAATTGATTCACTTTTGTAAAAGATTCATCTAATCTTCTTAATGCTTATACGTGTCGTCATACTTTAGTTGAAACGATGATTGTTAATCTTTTTAATGTTACAAATTTCTGCCTCTATGTACCGTTCCCGACATAAAAAACTGGTACAACCCTTATAATCAAAAATCATTTTTGTTAAGTGGTGTATATTGATCTTAGCACAATGTGTCATTCTGATTTCTAGGGCACAATTGCCAGTTCAATGAAAATTAATATATAACCATCTAAAACCAAGGCTGTAGACAGACCACCAGTTTGGAGATACTAAAAACTAAATCATTATCGAGCATTCTCGATCAGTCAGTCCACATTAAATTTGTTTAAACATGATCTTAAAAATAAAAATTTTCAATATTAATTTTGTAATTTTTCAACATCTCCATTAAGTACCATATTATATTTGTTTGTGTTTTATAACAATTTATGAAAATACTTCAATTAAAAAATAATGACAGATAATCAGTTAGACAAACGTCAAATTATTATAATAAACATTACAATGAGGTATTGGATTGTAACTGTTACATTTAGAAAAGCGTTTATTTCGCACCGAGAATTATCTAGTATTAAACTTCAGGATAAAGTTAATGTTAGTTTATCACATTTTTTATCGTTCTTGTAATAATAATAAATGAATCTTGGTAGTTTGCTGTTACAAAACTTATCTGACACAGAATACCTAGTACGAGTTCGGTAGGTAATAAGTATAAAATTACAGTATATATGTATTCCAATGTTCCCTGTGCAATACCCTAGGTTTAAAGATCCTGTCAAACATTTTGGATAAGTAACTCAACCCTATTCTCTGCTTATTTAATTTCTTAGATTTAGTTTTTTATTGGTAATGATAAGAATAATCACCTATCTAAAAATTTATACTTTTTGAACGTTATTTTTTATATTAGATTTAGTGCAATTCCGTTATCTGTTAATGGCAACAACGAATTGATTTCGGAAACTCAGGTTTACATTGGGAAAAAAGTTGTACCAGTTTTATATGACGGGAAGTGTAGAAATATATGTATGCAAATATATTGTTTATCATATTTTGTAATTAAAATAATTACGTACATTAAAC